AATGCTCTTATTTGCTGAGATATCCCCATAGGCCCGTTTTAGTTTCATATATATCTCGTGGGGGGGAGGGTGCCCGGGGTGACAACAGAATGCATTAGGATCCGAAATTACAGGTAGTTGTAAGTGCTGAAAACTGAAACCCCATCCTCTGGAAGAGCAGCATGAACTCCTAGCTGCTGAGCCATATCTCAGCCCATAGTCTCTATTTTTAAAGCTCTATAATGTAAAATATTTGTAGCTCTCTCTTTGTTGTTTGGATACTTCAATCCTGAACTAAGAGGATGTTAATAGTAATAATAATAAATTTCAGGGCACAAATGAACATCAGAAATTTTATTTTAGGGGCAAGGGAATGGCTCAGCTGGTAAGACCACTTTCCATGTGAGCATAGGAACTTGGGTTCAAATTTTCAGCAACCTAGAGGCCCAGAGACAGAGAGAGCTCAGTAGTTCAGAGTTCTCTCTGCTTGTCCTGGTTGATTTTATGTCAACTTGGCCCAAGCTCATCTGAGAAGAGAGAGCCTCAATTAAGAAAATGCTTCCCTAAGATTGGCCTGTAGGCAAGCCTGTGGGCCACTTTATTAATTGGTGGTTGATATGGAAGGGTGCTGCCCACTGTGAGTAGTGCCATCCATGGGCAGGGGGTTCTAAGGTATATAAGTAAGCAAACTGAGCTGGCCAGGGGGAACAAGGCAATAAGCACCATTCGTCCATGGCACCTGCTTCGATTCCTCCCTTGAGTTCCTGCCCTGCCTTCCAGCACCCACATGAGGTGGCTCACAACTCCCTGCAACTACAATGGATCTAACAACCCTGCGTGGGTCCTGCACATGTGCACACACACATACATGCAGAGTAAATCTTTTTTTAAAGATTGTTCGTTTTAGCCAGGTGGTGGTGGTACACACCTTAATCCCAGCACTCTGGATGCAGAGGCAGGTGGGAGTCTCTGAGCTCGAGGCCGACTGGTCTGCAGAGTGAGTTACGGGACAAATCTTTACTTTTTTAAATTCCGAACACAGCAAGCCTGTAACCCCAGCACTGTGGGGATGGATAGGAGAAGGCTCCTTTAGGTTTGCTATTCACCAACCTAAGTCCAGGTTCAGTGAGACCCCCTTTTTCAAAGAAATAAGGGTAATAATGATAGAATGGGACATCCAACATCCTGCCCTGGCCTCCACCTCTGCAAGGGCCCATGTGCTCACATGTTTACATGTGCATACACCCTACACACAGCCATTTTGTTTTATTGGTTTTAAGTAATAGAAAATGAGTAAAGGCTAAGTAGAGAATTTTGTGCCAAATTAAAGCATAGGTAATTCTACAATGCCAGATTCTAAATTGGTATTCAGTATCAGGTTCTAGATTAGTAAATTTGAAACATACAGATATTTTCTAGATGGAGAAAACTGAAGCAGAAAGATTATAAGTTTAAGGCTTGAGGTTATAGTGAGTTCAAGCCTATCATGGTCAACTTAGCCAGACTCTGCCTTAAAATATCTTAAAATAAGGGAGGGGCTGGAGACGTAGCTCCGTGGTAGAGCATTTGTAGAATGCAAGAGGCCCTAGTTTCAAGCTCCAGTCCTGTTTTAAGGTACTTAATCAATAAACATCCTGCACATCTTCACTTTGCTCAGTGGGAAAAAATGTCACGTGTTTTGATTACCACTTGAACCAGCTGATTCTACACAGTCCCTAGTGTCACTGCTTTCCATGGCTATGCGAGGCTCAGCAAATGCATTATGTGTAGCATTGATTCAATTGCATTTCTCAAAGCAGTTTAACTTTTTAAAGTGTGTTGCATGTACTGGCATGTGGGTGTGTGTGGAGTGTACATGTGTGTGCAGGTGAGTATGTGTGTTCCTGCATGAAGAAGGCAGAGGTCAACCTCGGATATTGTTCCTCAGGATCCATTTTCCATTTTTCTGAGACAGTGTCTCTCACTGGGACCTGGGCCTCTTTGTTGGCTAATTTGGCTGGCCAGCTGGCCCTAGAGATCCTCCTGTGTCTGCTTTCCTAGTACTGGGATTACAGGTCTGTACCTCCAGGCCCAGCATTCTACATAAGTACTGGAGTTTGAATTTAGTGAGTACTTTACCAAACTGAGCTATCTTCCAAGCCCTCCTGGATTTCCCCTTTAAAGCTACATCATTCCGTGTGTGTGTGTGTGTGTGTGTGTGTGTGTGTGTGTGTGATATAATATCATGTATCTCTTTGACACTCCAGATGTATTTTTTGGGTGTGGTATACCTGTAAGCTGATTACTAGATAAATCGCTAGATCATATAATAGTTCTGTTTTTATTTTAATTTTCTAAGGATCTACCATATTGTTTTCTGTGGTGGCTGCATAATTTTATGATCTCAGCAGTGGCGCAAGGGTTCCATCTTCTCTACATCCCTACTGTTACTTAAAAAAGAAAAAGAAAAAGAAAAGCAGCCCCCATCCTTGAGGACCTATGTGATATTTCTTTCTGGTTTTCAGTTATGTTTCTCTGGTTAGTGTTGTTGAACATATTTTCATATGGTTATTAACATCTGTTATTATTGGATAAATGGTGACATTTGTTGCCCATTGCTTAATGAAGGTATGTGATTTTTGTAGTTATTGAATTATAGGAGCTCTTTATATATTATATATTTATATATTAACTCCTTACCAGATACATCATTTTCACATATCACTTTTCCATTCCACAGGCTACTTCTTAGTCTGTTGATTATGTCCTTTGATGAATGTTTTTAAAGTCTGATATAGTCTTGCCCTTTTTCACTTTGATTATTCTTTTGGTGTCATACCTAGCAAGTCGCTAAATCCATTGTCTCTCGTAAGTCTTTTACAATATTTCTTCTAAGAGTTCTGAGTTATTTTAGTCTTTAATTCATATTGTCTCACTTGTTCCTTTTCAATTGGGGAGGTTTGGTTTTTTGTTTTGTTTTGGTTTTTGGTTTTTCGAGACAGGGTTTCTCTGTGGCTTTGGAGCCTGTCTGGAACTTGCTCTTGTAGACCAGCCTGGCCTCGAACTCACAGAGATCCGCCTGCCTCTGCCTCCTGAGTGCTGGGATTAAAGGCCTATGCTACCAATGCCTGGCTCCAATTGGGGAGTTTTTAAAGTGATTTTTATTGACATAAACAGTGCTTATTTTATTATTGGCTGAAAATAGTCTTGCTAAGCTATGGCATATGAGTCCCATTCATAGATGTGGTAGGAGGAACCTCATAATTACATACTTAAAGAAATGGAAGGAAGCATCAAAATGCTAATTATCAGTGTTTAGCTGGTAAATTTATGAGTGATTTTAATTTTATTCTTACTATTTCTCTATAGTAACAAAATGTTGCTTCAATAATATAGACTAAACCACAAAAAGTTTTTTATTATTAAAAAGTGATAGTTCTGTTACTGATGCCTCTACAGGATGGACATGTTACAGTTTCTATGTAATTCAGAAGCATCATGTTAATAATTTTAACCTGTAAGCAACAAAATAGAAATATACACAGTGGGGCTTAAAAGCATAAATTAGATAATATCTGATGAAATAATAAATGAAAAGTCTTGCTTTCAGTAATAAATATCTTATGAAGAGAATGAAATGTGTTAACTTATTCAGAGGGACTCAAGCCAGTCTTGGCTTTTAGTCATTTAGTTATTCAGATGCAGACTGTTCCCAGTGTCTCTCATGGAGTATGCAGAGTGTCCATCCCTCTTTGACATCTGAGGGACTCCCTTCTTGGCTGATGTGGGTCATTCTTTTCCTGGGACTGAAAGAGGCCAGGATGACAATCACGTGGCCTTGGTGGCGCTCAGCTCTCTTCCACTTTTGGTGTAGCCAGGAGCTGCCCTTACCAGACTGCAGAGGCTCATCTTGTGGAGCTCTCAAATCCTGCATGAGGACTTACTCAGCCGCATGGTTTTCTGAGTACATTGAGAAGAGCTGTAGCCAGGGTAACTCACAGCTTTTGATTCTAGATTCCAGAGTACCCATATATCCAGATTCTATATATAGCAGACTTATTGACTCTGCTAATAACTGAAAACAGATTCATTTTTCATAGTTCAGCTTTTCAAGAACCAACTGGTAGCTATCCATGAGAAATCCACCTTACAGGGAAAGAGGCTCGTGAACTGAAAGTGTAGGCGTTGATGCTCCAAGCAAACCTGAGTAGCTGTTCTCATGTTTCACAGAGCAACCAAAATTAGTCAAAAGAGATAAAGGGTTCATTTTATGTTAATAAATGGAACTGTCCAACTAGAAGATATGATCGTAAATAGATATGTAGTGGATGTTGGACCCAACTGCATAAAACAAACACTGTTGTACATATAGGGACGTTGAAGTTTAGATAATAGCGGTGGGTAGCTTTGGGGCTAGAAGATGGTTCAGTGGGTAAATTGCTTGTCATTCAAGAGTAGATATCTGAGTTTGATATCCTAGCTAGCATCCTCATTTAAAACAAAACAAAAAAAAAAAAAAAAAAAAAAAAAAAAAAAGTGGTTGCTGATGCTGTGCCTGTAACCCCAGTACGAGGAGAAGGAGACAGGAGCATCCCTGGGACTGACGGGCAAGCTAATCTTGCTCAGTCAGCAGGCTTCAGGTCCATTGAGAGACCCTGTTCAATAAAGAAAGTGGGAAGTGATAGAGGAAAACAGCCAACATTGACCTCTGAACTTCACGGGCGTGTGCACACAAATTCTCACTATCTCCCCTCCCCCACCTGCTCTGTTCAAATGAAAGTATTAAGTGACTTCATTACCCCACTTTCATTAATGTGTAGATCACCCTTGAAAAATGTGAACAAAGAGATGTGGTGGGAGCATCCTAGCACACATGAAGTTATATAATGTATATTATGTACATACATAAAACTTAAAACTATACCATAGATCACATGGGCATAACAGGTAACTGCAGAGTATTCCTTCCAACAGCTGCAAAGTACAGCCGTCTCATATTTCTTCATATTTGAAGTAACATGGTGACCAACTTTGTTTTTCAGGTGATGATTTTTCTTTGATTCAACAAGAAATATTTATGGTTAAAGAATGTAAACATTGCAACATCGTAGCGTATTTTGGGAGCTATCTCAGGTAAATCCAGGAGCATCGCCTCCTCCCTCTGTGTCACTGCCTTCATATGTGTGCACTTTGAAAACGTTGTCCAGAATTCTAAGTGTGGTAGGGTTTTCGTGCCATCTCCCTGCTGGGTTACCATTAGCACCTCTTTCTGTGGCCATGCCTTGTCTGGCAGCCTTAATGGATCGTTATGAATGATGATGACAGAAAATAGATCATGGCCTTACCTTTTTCAAATTGAAACAAAACTGAAAGCGATGCGCTCTCCTGTATGTGGAGGAAGGGATTGCACTTGCAACTATCTGTTGCTGTCTGCAGAGCATCCTGAACCCAGTCGCTAACAGTGAGAGCTGTAGAGTACATACGTCAGTAGTTGTGAATTATCGGCTACAATAATTTTCTTTCTCTCTCATTATAGTAGGGAAAAACTCTGGATTTGCATGGAATACTGTGGTGGCGGATCACTTCAAGATATTTATCATGGTACTGTCAATACAATTTTACATCTTAAATTCTACTTTGACTTTTATGGTTGTTGTTTGACATTTCTAGCTAACAAGGGAAATTATTTGGGTAGATTTACTCTCTATCATTATTCTGTCTGTCCCCAGACACATGTTTAAAAACTAAGAATTCTTACTGTTGCCCTTGATTACTCAGCTAATTATGCTTGAGCCTGAACTAAGAGATCCATAAGTGCTTGTTCAGTATCAATTTTACTTTTTAAGTGGGCATGGTGGTATGTTCTTGTTATCCCAAGTGCTTGTGAGGCACAGTGAGAAGGGTTCCAGAGTTCAAGGCCAATCTGGATTGAACACTGAAGCTCTGCTAGAAATTAAGTACATATGTTTAGAATTGGTTTCTAAGAAAGCAGCAAGGCAGCTGCAGAGGCAGCTATCCTGCGTCCTTACAGTGTAGTCATAGAAAGAAGTCAGGCAGGCAGAGCTGCCAGGATGGAAGTCATTACTCTGACAGTTTGGTTTTAAATGTGTAAGTTTTGAAAAGAAAGAATATTTAGTATTCTGCTAGTATGTTTCTCAGGTGAACTTGGCTTTCTTCATAACCTGTTTTAGAAGTGTTTTTTTGCTGGGCAGTGGTGGTGCATGCCTTTAATCCCAACACCTAGGAGGCAGGGGCAGGTGGATCTCTGTGAGTTTGAGGCCAGCCTGGTCTACAGAGTGAGTTCCAGGACAGCCAGGACTGTTGCACAGAGAAACCCTGTATTGAATAACAAAACAAAACAAAAAATCAGAAATAGTTTGGGTGTGGGCTCTACTGCTTAAGGGATGTGTTTGACGGCTTCTTGAATTGCTAAAATTTGTAAAGCTGAGAATGAATCTTTATGAGATATTTTTCTTTCCTTTGTAAAAAATGGGATAGTGAAAGACCCATTGCAAATATGTCTAATTTATTAAGAATTATGTGACATACCAAAAGTATTTCTATGCTAAAATCTTCACATTGAAAGTCATCAGTTGTTCATTCAGCTTCTGAAATGGCCGCAATAGATGTAAACACAGAGGTACTACTCCAGTCTTAGATCTTAGAAAAATCTGTGAAGGTTTTATAATACCAGGTGAGCAATGACAAAGTAAACTAACTACATTTAACAGTGTATAGCATAGCTTTGTGTACGCTGACCTGGATATTACTCCTCAAAAAAAAGAAAAGAAAAAAAAAAAGAAAAAACTTGTGTAGCACAGTTGATCGTGCTCAGGCTTTTGAATTTTTATTTTTGTAAATATACATAAATGTAATTGTATAGCAAAATGGGAGGATTATATGCCAGATTCACAGGTCACTGCCTCTAATGGAGGGAAAGTGGAGCTCAAAAGAAAACTCTGAATTCTGATAAGTATGTATTATTGTGTCATTCAACTATAAATTATAAAACTGCCAATTTTGTTAACAAGAAACAGCCATAACAAATAACAAAAAAGTCTTGGCTACTTACTCATTCTCTTTATTTTTTTAAAAAAAAGTTTATTGCATAAATATACATGTACACAAAATACTATGTAGACTGTCTCTTGAGAGTTTTAGTAAGGGCCTATAATGGTGGTACACACCTACAATTCCAGCACATAGGAGGCAAAGGTAGGAAGTCAGGAGGTCAGGGTCATCCTTGATTCCATAGGGGATTGATTCAAGGCCAACCCAGGCTACATGAAACCCTGTCTCAAAAGGAAAAAAAGAAACATATTTTATTCTTTAGTAGTATAAAATTGTCATTAAAACTTCCAGAATGACTGTTTATTCTCTTTTGTCCTTTTATTGATTTAAAGAAATATTGATTAAATAGTAACATTTCTATATCACTGAATTAAAATTCTTTTCTGTTTTTGTTTTATTTTGTTGCTTAAGAGTTTCTCTGAGTAACCCTGGCTGTCCTGGAACTCACTCTATAAACCAAGCTGACCTTAAACTCAGAGATCCGCCTGCCTCTGCTTTCCTGGTGCTGGGATTAAAGGTATATGCCACTACCAGCTGACAATTAAATTTCTTTTCTAAGATTTTTAAAGAATTATGACTTTTTATGAAAATTTGTATTTAATTATAATCTTTACCCATCTATGTTTTTATAAATAGCTTTAAAAATTCAAAGGATATAACTGGCAGTTTTTACCACTTGCCCTTTTATGCTTAATTATTCTGAGATTATTTTCATGAAATTTCTGTTTGCAAAACTAAAACCTGATCATTATTTTTCTTAGTTAAATTGAGCTTAAGGACTATTATTTCCTTAAGTAGTATACTCGTGAGTTTGAGGTCAGCCTGATGTATATAAAGAATAGTAAGTTCCAGGCCAGCTGGGGTTATATAGTGAGACCTTATTTAAGAAAGATGTATGTGCATACATGTGTAAATTAGGTGCTATTAATGAAGTGACCATTTCGCCAGTGTACTAAAAATCAAACTTTTATGTTCCTGAGCGGATGTAGCTAGCCAGCAGTCAAATGATGCAGTGAGGCATTTCTCTATACAAAGATTTCCTGTCCATTCTAGTTTGGATGTCAGCATCAGCAGGCAGAACCCCAGATTTCCTCACATACTGAAAGGTACTGTTTAGAAACCCCTGGTTGGATAGTTGCCTAAGGATTTCATATTTCATATCAGAGAGAAATCTGCTTTCCAGAAATACTCTGGTTACTTTTGATTCTTTGGTAAGGCACTGGACCAAGCCTCACTCCCTATCCTGAGAGATGTGTGAAGAGAAGAGAGCACCTCACCCTCTAAAAACGTGTGTGATGCTCATCAGTGGGTCCCAGCAGCCAGTCTCCGCCTCTAGACATGTAATTCATGTAATTCACACACGGGCAGCCCTGCTTTTGCCTGTTCCTGAGACTGTTGATCTTAGGGCCTTGGCTTTCTATGGGCCTTCCTGTGGTACGTGTACCAAGCTTTGCACATAATGGACACTTTACATTTCACTGTCCAGAATTGTCCAGGAATAACCCTCTTATTTTCAGAATAGACTTTAAAATACTCAGTGTTATACTTCATTTCTCAGTTACTGTGTGCTTGTAGTCAGAAGAGGCTCGCAGTGTGCATACACAAGTTGTACATCCTTCATCGTTTTGCAGCTAGACTGTTTTTTAATGTTAGTGTCAAACAACAATGTGATTTTGTTGTTGTTCTTATTTCTTTCTAGTTACTGGACCATTATCTGAATTACAAATAGCCTATGTATGCAGAGAGACGTTACAGGTAATGTGTTTTGTTACAAGTACTCTTTCCTGCCAGCCTGTTCCCACAACCATGCCAGCCCCAAATGAACACTCAGAGACTTATATTAATTATGAAACTATTGGCAATGACTAGGGCTTCTTATTGGCTAGTTCTGTATTAATTGCTAACCCATTTCTATTAATCTAAGTATTTCCACATGATATTACCTTACCAGAGAAAGGTCCAGGGACCTGTTACCCCTCTAGCATCCTACATGGCGACTGCTCTCTGCCTATACCTCCCAGAATCCTCCTCATCTCCTAGACCCACCTATCTTGCTGTCCTATTGGCCACAGTGTCTTATTCATCAACCAATAAGGGAAACTTATGTACAGAAGACATCAGTATTTGCTTAAGTACCCAGAAAGGCAGTTTCACACTTAGTAACTGTGAATGGTGGTTAAACAATAATAACTTCCCAGTCCAGCTTCCATGTTCTAAATTCTGTAAAGGTGCTAACTTTTTCATGAATGATTTACAAGACTTTATTCAGGTAGCCATTTGGAACTGCAATGATCACATGCAGATGGTCATGTGTGGTAGTGTACTTTGGTGGTATGGGATGCTAGCAAAGCTAAGGAAAACCATACCTATGAATTGTTTAACGTGAATGAGTCTGTAGACTTGTCAGTTGAAAGGACTTGTCTAACCTTCACCTCGAAGTTTATGGGTGTGAACAGAACACTCTTACAGAAGTATGAGGGTTTTTATCGTATCTTAGTTCTGTGTGTCATTAATACAGGGCCTTGCTTCCAGAACTCCCTTTCCTAAGTTTCATTAACAAATTAAAAGCATGCCTTTGGGGGAAAAAAAAAAGTGGCATGTCTTTGCTTTACTTAATGTACTTCAGAGCCTGTGAGAGATTTGGTATGCTGACGTGTGTCTTCACTAGAGCTACAGCATTTGTGACATTTCTACATTTCATTTCAGTCCTCTGAATGATTGCTCATTGCAAAAAATAATGATAGCAATATAGTCCCTCTGCTTTAAGGCTTTTAAATGAGGCTGCAGATTAAATGATAGTAATGGGGGGGGGGGCAGCTGGTATTTGTTCAGTGCAGCTTCTCTTCTGAGTCCTTCCTAGATTGTGTAGGTTGTTCCGAAGTTCTTTATGTTCTGTATGTACATGCAGTTGTTATTTTAAAGTAAACCTAGAGTGGTCAGATCCAAGAAAAATTCTAGTTAGTTTATTGAGTGTGTATCTTTGGGCTCCAAGACATACTATTCCCAGTCTACTGTGAGATAAATGCAAGTAAATTCCCCTCTGTGTGTGATTATACTTAGTATCTAAGAAAGTGTTTCCAGGACCTCTAAGAATGCTACCATCTATAGCTACAGCTAGTCTTTTACATTAAGCGGCATTATATTTACACATAACCTATGCACATGAGATCACTTGTAGATTACTTAAAATAATTGGTGTACCAAAATGGTTGTATAAGTCATTTCTGTGCTGCTGTTTGGGTTAACAACAAAGAAACCTTAGAGATACATTCTTTTTCTCAAATATTTTTAGTCTTTGTTTGATTTAATCTGTGTATACAAGTAGGAGGAATAATTAGGAATAATTTTTTCCATAGTATATACCTAATAGAAATATACTGTTTAATAAAATGCAAACCTAATCATAGACTCATAGTGAAGAATTAACAGCAAAGTAGTTTTAGTTTCTGAGGTTCATTGTTTCTTTAAGCAACAGAGTGCTAAATAAAAGAGAAAGAACAGCAACGTAGATTTATTGTCAGGCCAGTAACTGGCTTTAGCCTCTTACAGACTGATTCCCTAGGTTTGAAACAAAGCTATACAAATGGTGACCTCCGGAATCTGTTCTGATTTTAAAGTTCTGTTAAGCTAATGTTCTGCATTTGATCAAAATGGAGTAACATACCTCCCCAAACAGTACAAGACATGGTGGTTTTCAAGAAATGAGAGCCAGAGCTGGAATGCGGTGGTGCACACCTTTAATCCCAGCACCTGGAGGCAGAGGCAGGCTGATCTCTGTGATCTCGAGGCCAGCCTGGTCTACAGAGTGAGTTCCAGGACAGCCTCCAAAGCTACAGAGAAACCCTGTCTCAAAAAAAAAAAAAAAAAAAAAAAAAAAAAGAAAAGAAAAGAAAACAACAACAACAACAAAAAAAAAAAAGAGTGGGAAGGTAGACAGATACAAGATTCTGTAAATTCTATAGAATACTCAAAGGCAGTTAATGCTGTAAAACATACAGCAACACACACAGAATCCTTTTAAATAAGTTTACAAGATAATCCAGCAATATGCAAAAGCAAATGTTGTATAAAAAAATGAATGTTTCTTGGAGGTAGTGTTCATTTACAGTAAGCAACCATGAATACGCTTTAGAGAAAATTACATGGTCAGCGAAGGGAACATTTAGTGAAATCCATTGTTTATTCCGATAAATTTCTGAGCATACAGAAAGACAAATACCACATGTTTTTCTTTCCTATGTGGGCCCTAGCTTCTAATCTTTATAATGTGTTTATGTGGGTATGACCCCTCAGGAGGCCAGAAAACGGGGAAGGAGCCCTCTGAGTGAAAGGGCTTTGGGAGGCAGGGGACCTCTTGTATAAGAAGGTGAAGTAGGGAATAGTGTGGGAAAGCTTTGGGAGTGTGGTGAGGAAGGAGAAAGGAGGAGACCCAACCAACACACACACACAGAAGTACAAAAAGCCATAAGGAAAATGTCTGCTTTGTAAACTAATTTAAAAATGAATGTAAACACCCAGGCACGGCACCTTTAAAAGGAACTTGGTTAACTCTGTAGAGAGTGTCTCTGAAAGCGCTGTAGCCAAATTGTCTTTTATCCTGATAGAACAACATGAAAATGGCCATCCTGCCTTGTAGTCCAGGTTTCTGATAGACTGAAAGGAAAAAAAAAAAAAAAAAAGAATAAAGTAAAAAGGAATCTAGTTTTGAAAATAGCAAGCAAAAAAACTCTACATTCCCAATGCTGCATGGTCATTTTATTGAAAATGAAAGAGAACCTACAAAGTGGCCACTAGAGCTAACATAACAGGTTAAGCTAGAACCAACATCGGCAAGAGTCAGATTGCTTTCCAAAAGTCAAGTGGATTTTTAAATTAGGAATTAAAATTCTAAGAGAAAGGGATATGACATTCTCATGGATAAACTGGGTAAACATAAACACCTGCTTACTAAAGCCACAAAACTGTTGACAGGAGTCAAAGACCTAGGTGAGCCCATAACTGCTGAGCCGGGTTAGGAGGTTCTCCGCAGGGGCAACCCCCGTTCCAGTGGAATCCAGCCAGACTTTTTTGTTGTTTAAGAAACTGGCCAGCTGGTCAGGCATGGAGGCCCCCCTGTAATCTCAGCATTCAAGGACACTGGGAGGGAAATCATGAGTTTGAGGCCAGTCTAGGCTACACAGTGACCCATGTGGCTGGCAATAGGGGGCATCAGAGAAATGACAGCTGATTCTGGAATCCCTGTGGAAAGGCAAAGCAGGAAGGATAGTCGGGGACTTTGGAACCCTGGAGTAGAGAGACAAGCAGTGTTGGTGGGATAAGAAGAATTATAAAGAGCACAAGAAGAGAAAGCTTTGGGAGTGATCAGCGTGTTTATTGTCCTAATTGTAAAACAGTTCCAGTTTTACCAGAAAGTGAGTTAGATTACAGTGCTCACTGACTAGTTAGGAACCCTTTCATCCCCTGAAAAGGGCTGTCTAGTTTGTCTTATTCAGTAATTGAGGTAGATGTTTGATACTGTCTTGCTAATACATATTTTTTTTTTAATTTCAGGGTCTTGCCTATTTGCATACTAAAGGCAAAATGCATAGAGATATCAAAGTAAGTTCATCTAAAATATTTAAATTGGTGAGTTTTGAAAGAAATTTTATGATGCTAGTTTAATAGTATTTGTGCTTTTGTTTTAGGGTGCAAATATTTTATTAACAGACCATGGTGATGTAAAATTAGGTATGTTATTTTGAGTTCTTAATTTTCTACCAAAAAATATTAAATGATATTTAAGTTTGAATTGGTTTGATTTTTATACATATAATCATAATGATCATTGTCTGTCATATACTGATTTTATTCCTGAAGAAGTAAAATCCTATTCAAGAAAATTAATCTTATAGGTTAAAAAACCCATATTCATAAAACTATTAATCATATTACTTATGGTAGAAAATACAAGCCCATGGAATATTTTTCAGCACGTCATTAATATTTATGAAAATGTGTAAGTAAAATCTGGTTTTATTAAATGGCAAAAACGAACAAAATAATGTATTTCATTTCAATTATCATGTTTAACAAATTTTATATGCATAGGAAAAATGCTCTTTAAAAAAGCGACAAAATAGTGACTGTTTTAGGATTAAAGAAATTCAGGTGTATGTTTTGTATGTTTTCCCACATTTTTAGTTTTGTCACTTTTCCCAAATTAATTTCAGTGTGCTTGTAATTAACATAATTTAATTATCCTAATAAAGTACAGTTTTCATTCTAGTAAAGTTTCAGTATATGAGTATATTATTTTAATGAGTATATTATTACCAAGAAAGAACAGCTCTTGGTGCTAAGTTTATACACAGTTTTTTCACATTAATGTGTAAGATATTAACGATGCTATGCCAAGAGTGAAACTTAGAATACTAAGTTTCCTTAGTCCTGCTCTGGTTTTTCTCTCACCAGCTGATTTTGGTGTGGCTGCAAAAATAACAGCTACCATTGCGAAGAGGAAGTCTTTCATCGGCACCCCTTATTGGTAAGGCACTACTGTGACTGTCCTCCTGTTTTCATCTCTTTATGGTTTGGGCTCGACCTTAATTCTCGCTAATACAAGCGACCATCAGAGGCCAAGAGCCTTACATGCTCCTTGATGCTTTCCCAGCATTGACTGTGTTAGGAACTTTGGTTCTTCATGGCATCCAGCTCTCCCCATGGCAAAGGGCCTATACAGAGTGGAGTTTTCAAAAGCCTCTTCTAATTTTCTGTTCTAATCAAGGACTATATCCCTGGTTGGTAAAGCCCATACATCCTACACTGGTGTCCAATAGGTCCACATGCACAGAGCATCCTACTGGTGACGACCACGGTAATCTCTCTAGACACTGCCCTCCTTATTGACAGATAGTTGATGTGGAACAGAAGACCTCATAGAAAACGTCAGTGTGAGCCTGGCATGTGGGTGGTACCTGTAATTCAGCATTAGGGAGGCTGAGGCAAGAGGACTGCTATGAATTTGAGGATGACCTGAGCAATAACAAAATCCCTTAATATTTAAAATAATGTAATGAATGCTATAGCATTCAGAGTTTGTGTTAAATGTTAGGTTTGTTAATGTATGGTGTTTGGATAATTTATTATTTTGTAAATAATTTACACTGCCAAAATAAACTGTATATGGGTCTGCAGAGGTAGATCGATCAGTGACTAAGAACACTGGCTGTTCTTTCACAGGATAAAAGTGAAAGCAGGACTGGGCATGGTGGCATATGCTCTTGGGATGCAAAGGCAGGTTCTGTGAATTTGAAGCCAGCCTGCCTGTAGTGAGTCCCAAGCCAGCAGGGGTTTCACAGTGAGACCCTGTTCAAAAAAAAAAAAAAAAAAAAAAAATAGAGCAAATGAGTTAGAAGGTGGAGATACAATACAGCTCAGTGGTCAGTGGTAGAGTATTTCCCCAGCATGCACGGTCCCCAGCACCGCATGGTGGGGGCATCGATTTTATTTTCTGCACTTGGAAGTGCAGGAGAATCAGAAAGTTAAGTTCATTCTCAGCTAAAAGCAAGTTTGAGACCAGGCTAGGGTATATGAGATCCTGTCTTAGAAAGAAGGAAGGCGGAAGACAGGAAAGAAAGAGAAAGATAAAAGAGGTTTGTGTTGGCATCAAACTTTAAAGGAAAAGATGGTTCACATCACATGACAATTTAAGCTTTATGTCTACCAGCTGAAACAAAAATTAAAAGTCAAGTAAAATACAGGAAGGACTGGCTAAATTGGCCCAACTATGTAATATCTTTAATATGTCATTTAAAAGAATGCCTCTTGAAGAGCAGATACTATAATAGCACATGTAACAAATCATAAAATAGGAGAAATGTTTCCCTCAATAAACACATGACATGGAAAATACTTGGTACCAATGAGCCACACTGGCCATCACTAATGACACGCCCATCACTGAGCATGTTGCAGTGAAAATCACTAGAGTGGTTTGTCACTGAGGATGTAAGAGCCTCTACGTGGTGTTTGTATCCTTTAGTCTCAGTGCTTTTGCTGGTGGTAATCTAGCAGAGGCTTGTACATTTCTGTGCACAGAGTGCCTCCAGGAGTAGTTTAAGAAAGAAAATAGAGGCTTGAATAAGCTAAGGGCATGTCACTTGTCATTTCTGCGAATAACATGATGGTACTTAAAAGTGATGCTGACAAAGATGAGTTGTTGGCAGACAGGCCCAAAGTGGGCACAATTTTTAAAACTCATGGTCAAAATTAGCACATGCGATAGAATATTCTTAGGAAAGGTAATGTGTCTCTAAGTAAAACGTGGACAAACATGTGTGAGACAGTGGCTGTATTTGTTTTCTTCCATTTTTTTCCCTATATTCGTAATTTTCTTCAGTTAACAATACCACTTTGATAACAGAGAATTCCTTAGTTGGTGTCATTTAAATAAACATTAAATGGAAACATAGACAGGTCATCTATAGACTCTTCCTCTATTGTAAACGCATCTGCAGCTGCTTGAGCTGTGTGTACTGCATCCCAGAGTTCTGCCCACTCCCCAGAGCTGTATACACTGCTGCCTCTGATGGCAGCTTTCTGTCACTACCTGTGGTGGCTTTATGACCCAAGCTCAGGTCCCTCTGAGTTAGGAAGTAGGACAGAGTCAGTCAGGCTGCCAGTCCAATTAGCTGCGCAGTCTCACTCCAGAGAGTAAAGAAATGGAATGTGTTTGCTGTCCTGGCCCCAGCTCAGTCCATCCAAGGCTCAAACTAGCCTGTATCATTTTCTTCTCTTTTGTACCGTGCCCATTACCGTGTACACAGCACTTACATACCATATATATATATATATATATATATATATATATATATATATTCGCATTTTGGAGGACAGGGAGTGTAGCTCTCAACAGCAGAGCGTGTGGCTAACATGTTCACAGCCCTGGGTTCAGTGCCCAGCACACAAGAAGGTAAAGATTAGTGTAAGTATTATGGCCTCACTTTAGAACACATGTACTATATTCCACATTAAGCTGAGACACCGTATGCATCTCAACAGATGTAGGTTATAATGTTTTATGCATGTAAAAGCAATAGCACCTTGTGGATAATTAATATAACTATAAATTAAAAACTTGAAAATGGAAGTGAAAAATTTTCCCCTGGGCAGTGCCACCCCCACCTCACCTTGGATATTATCTGTGTGTTTTGAGATTGGCGGAGGGTGGGCAGTGGTTATTGAGACATGATCTTCTGTGTAGCTCAGGCTGGCCTGGAACTCAAGATAATTCCTGTTTCAGCCTCCCAGGGCCTGTAGTTAGAGGTGTTTGCTACCATACCCTGTGTTTTTGAGGCGTGTGGGAGCTCCTCCGCATGCCTTTTCATCTCCTTACCACACACACTGTATGTTTCATGTTGGTGTGAGTTTTATATTAATTTCCTCCATAATTAAGTTGGTGGGTTCGCATCATTTTCACAAGTAAATTCTTGTATAAAAGGAGATTGTTCATTTCTAGCCCCTACCTTGGCAGTCTGTTTTCCATGTCCTTCCAGATCCTCTAAGCCAGTGGTTCTCAGTTTGTGGGTAGTGACCCCTTTGGGGTTACATTTTAGATATCCTACATATCAGATATTTACATTATGACTCATAACCATATCACAAATTACTGATATGAAGTAGCGGTGAAATACTATTATGGTTGGAGTCACAATAACACGAGGGTATGGCATTAGGAAGTAGAGAACCATTGCTCTAAGCCCCTAGTTATGATTTCTTTTTCCATTTCAGATCAGACTTATACTTTTGTAAAATAAAATGATTTACTAAAAATTGTTATGTTTAGACAAGAGAAAGCATACTTGCCATTTCTGTACTTATCCCAACAGTAACAAGTAGTGTATGGCCCCTTCTAAGTGTGTAAGTCACAGGGTGAGTCCTGCTGTACCCTCTGCTCTCCAGGCGTTGCTTGTGGTTACTCTCCGTATGTCCCCGCATATGCTGGGGTTTCTCTGAACTGTGCAGACTCCTCCCCGCCTGCTCCTCTTGGTACTCTTTAACAGTTTCACCAGCACAGACTAAAGCAACAGGCTATCCAGAGAAGGATGTTGAGATTTTTAAGTAGTGAATTTTACTCATTTTTTCTGAGTTATTTATTTTTATCCTGTAAGTGTGGGTGTTTTGCCAGTGTGCATGTTTGTGCACATGTGTGCCCACAGAGGTCTGAAGGAAGCATCAGATCCCCTAGAGCTGGAGTTAGGGTATTTGTGAGTCACTGTGTAGGTGCTAGGAACTGAACCAACTCTGACAAGAGTATCCAGGGTTCCTGACCACTGAGCCATTTCTCTAGCCACCGGATATTGGATTTTAGAAGTAGAGTGTGGAGCCAGATGATAAAGCGTCTTTCTCCCTAGTAATTACCTGCTAGCCTCTTTCTTCCATCTATGAGCATAAGAAAAATTGGTGTGCTCTATGTTGTTTTTAAAGTAAAAACGTTCTACTCACTGATTCCCCCAGGATGGCCCCAGAAGTCGCAGCAGTGGAAAAGAACGGTGGCTACAACCAACTCTGTGACATCTGGGCAGTCGGAATAACAGCAATTGAGCTTGGAGAGCTTCAGCCACCTATGTTTGATCTTCATCCAATGAGGTGTTCTCATTATGTACAACACTTTGGGGAGATGAAACACTGATGTGTATCACAATAGTAAAAGTACTGTGCAGCTGTAACATCATATAACCTGCAACACACATACACTGCATATATGACACCCCCATGTCATTCGAAAGAAAAACATGAAACATTTCATGTCCAAAGCAGTGTTTTCAGTACCCTCCCATGTCGTAGTGCTACACAATTTATAACAGAATATTCAGTCTGACTATTAAACACAATGGTGAAAGTATCTTAACATTGCCCTTAACTGAAATTTTTATTTCAGGGCTCTCTTCTTAATGTCAAAAAGTAATTTTCAGCCTCCAAAACTAAAGGACAAAACAAAATGGTGAGTTAAAGACTATATAGTCTTAGAGAATGTAGCAGTCTGTACTGTGCTATAGATGATGAAACCAGAGCTTTGAGAAGCTAACCCAGTGTTATTGCATGGCTGTGGGTCTGTGGGCATGTGGCCAGGGTTTATTTTCTAGTCATGCCTGCCCCTGGCAAACAGCCACTTTCTAATGTGCTGTCATTGAGTAAAGAAGTATGGTGATGGAAAGGATTTGAAATGAATGTGTGAAGATTTTGGAAATTCACATTTTTCACCCTGTATTTTTATATCCTTTAGTTACATATTGTCTTTCTTGGACTGTGATATTTGAAAAAAAGTTTCCCAAATACTATGACACTTGAAATTAGTCCTTATTGGCTTTGCTATTCCTTCCATATGTTCAAAGGAATTACAGCCTATATTCATCTTCGTCTCCCCTTTCTTCTACAACTATCAGTATAGTTCATAAATATTAGATGGTAAAAACTGAAAAATTTTTTGATAGAAATCGACAAGCATTTTATAAAACCAACCAGCAAATAAAAGTTTCTGATATATCATACACATAGTTCTTACGTAGGTGTGTGGATTTCTTGAAGGTCTATGAGCCTCCAAATGTGTATGTCCATTTATTTTTCTGATGAGACAGTGTATATGGTGAGATTTCAGATCCTAGTCTCCCCACCCCGTGATAGACTCTGAACTGAGTCATGTGTCATAACCTGTGTGGGTACAGTTTTATATAGGAGCATCCTAAGGTTTTGGCAAGAGTGAAAGGCAAGTCACCCTCTAGTGACCTTTAGTCCTGACACTGACTTCTTCATGCCTCCTGGTGCACTGAGTTTTTAGTCATTTGGAACTGGAGGGCTTTGTGACAGGAATGCCTTAATAATCACATAGGAACAGCAAACATCATGTATCAGCACTAAATGTGTGGTCAGATTCCAGAGGTGCAGCTAGCATTAGAGATGCCCCACAGCCCCTCAGACTCTCTCTCCAGTGGCTCTCACAAACCACCATGGACAAAGCAGTGTTGGGATTTCTCTGCTGAGATGTGCTGTGTGTCATCTTTGCTGGTTACCATGGCAACTTCCTTGGTTCTTGAGCCATTCTTCCCTAGTGGAATCTTAACAGTGCCAGAAAGAAACCTGTTTGTCATTAGTAATGAATATAGGATTCTTTTAATTTTTTTTTTCTTCTCCCTTTTCCTGCTTCAATAATGCAAATAGCAAGGAAATGCTTTTGGTTGCTAAAATCACTCATTTTTCTTTGCCCTTTCCTTATGAATTTTCAAAAATTCTTTTAGAATTTAAATTGTCTCATAATAGTTCCTACCCTCTGTGTAACCTAACTTCTGGTATAGAAAAAAACTTTTAAAACTTTTAAAGATTCTGTAAATTGGGCAGTAAGAAAAGGGCTTGTGGCTTCTAGCCGTACCTGGAAAGAACTTAAATCAAGCATCTGCCCACTTCCAATCTGCATTCCATGTTTGGAGGTTGTCTAGTACTATTGCTATTTAACTCTGTATTACTTAAAAGACAAAATGGCTGCACATATGTCTGAGGGATATACTGTGTTATATGTTTAGGTTTTTTTGTTTGTTTGTTTGTTTTGTTTTGTTTTTTTATGTCCTGAGAGGGGCCTGAGAGGGGAGAAATGCTTTTGCTCACTTTCTAACTATTCCTATGTTAATTGTATGTAGTAATAGCAGGAAACTATTACTAGTGACATGTGTTTATACTGTCTCTGTTTATTTGAAGGTCATCGACATTCCATAATTTTGTCAAAATAGCACTAACGAAAAACCCTAAGAAAAGACCAACCGCTGAAAGGTTACTGACTGTAAGTCATGGGCCACAGGGGGTCTTGGTCACATGGCATTGAGATGGGTCACTAGAGAAAAGTGGGCCATTGTAACCTAAAATTAGCTGTAGGCAGTATGCATTCATGAGTGTAGTTTTTAACACCCAAGAAAACTTTATTTAGAAAAGTAGTAGGTAGTGCTCTGAAACTGTATTTTGATGACCTCAGCCTCTGAAAAAAACTCCAAAATGTTATCATCTAAATTTAGTTGCTTTTCTTAATTTATTATGCAGATTTATAATGTGCACTACATGTATATGTAAAATGCCTTTGTCTGAGAAATAGTACAGCAGCAACCTAAGCAAACTGTTTAATTTAACTGAATTAAATGAGTGCAATACACAACAAATATACCCTTTCTTATTGTTTTGAAACATCCCACAGTATTCATCCGCATACCAGTGTATATATAACTAAGCACCAACATTTAGCTGGTAATTTTACACATAATGTAGATTACATAGACAAATGGTTCACTCTGATCTCCTAATTCTGTGTTTGAGTTGTTCATGATCATAGGCTCACTGATTGATGCTTCTATGGCTATACCCTCCGTGTCTTAGTCTAGACGCCACCATTAGCTTGGTTTACAAGTTACTGACCTAAAACACAAGTAACAGTTTCTTGTAAACCATAGATCTGAGGGCACATTTGTGAAATTTTTCTGTTTGATCTTTACTTAGCACACCTTTGTTGGACAGTCAGGTCTGTCCCGGGCCCTAGCGGTTGAACTGTTGGACAAGGTGAACAACCCAGACAACCATGCACACTACACCGAAGGAGACGATGATGACTTTGAGGTAAGAATGGGATCAGGTGGATGCTTGAGACTTTTAATGTGGCTCTGGAGTGTATTCTATTTATTTCAGGTATTTATTTAGTCTTGGCTTTATGGACAAGGTCTCACACAATCCGGGTTGGTTGGTTTAGAGCTTCATATGTAGACCAGGCTAACCTTGAATTCTCAGAGATCCTCCTGATGAAATCTCCCACCACACCCAGCTGGGAATTTATTTTCTGATTTACACCTTCAATTTAATTTAAATGGATTTAGCTACAAACACTGACTGTGTAAACTGTACATATGTTCATTTAATTATCCTGCTAAGGCTTTTCCTAATCCTACTGTCAGTCTGAGTTCTGTGGTTGGCTGAAGGTTAAATGAGGGTTATCCTCTTCATCCCTTACACACATTCGCAGAGAGCCAGAGCTGCCTCCTCTCCAGACCTCAGGTCCTGTGGTGACATGTGATCTTCCTGTAGACCAGATAGACATGGCATCTGTTTCCCAGGAAATAATGCCTGTAAGAATGTTATCTTGGACCATGAGGAGAAAGTTTAGGCACAGCACATGCGTGTAATTTTTCATTAAGGCTCCTTAGAAATTCAGCCGCTCATTTTTTAATTTTCTATTTATACATATTAACAAAATACAGACAGTTTTAAAGGAGTAAGTTGAAATCCTCAATGGGGAAAATAAAATCTTCCCAGTATTTTTTTTCCTAAGTAGTTTCTTGTATAATTACGTGTAGGCATTTTATTACTATGCATATCTATTCTGAAAGTATTCTGGGATTATTTTATCATATTTAAGTAATGCAGCATATAAATCAGGAATGAGGGACTTGCTGCTCATTGATGGCACCATTGTTTCTGTTTAAGTGCTTAGTAAGTGTAGTCCTTATAGAATCTTTAAAAGATAATGTTTATTCCCCCAATGCCTCATATATATATTATAATCCTGTTATCATTTTATTTGTTGTTAAATTAACTTGAGTTGCAAACATTAATTAAACCAGCCATTCATAGATTCCCTACACACACAATTATTTGCAAGCTTAAGATTAATAAATCTTTGGGTTGTTAAGCTATCTGAATAAGTTAGTACTTACTACAAAGCTTGATAACCTGGGAGCTGAGTTTGATTCCAGATATTCACTTAGTGAAATAAAAATACTGTCTCTCACAAGTCCTTAGATTTCCACATGTCACACACATGTGTACCTGAATACATACATATAAATAAATATAATTTTTTTTTTGAAAAAGTTAAAATTAACAAGATTTTAAGACTCAGGAGGATTGACACCAAGTGAGCCTAGGATACATTGTGACTTCAGAGCTGCTTTGTGGAAAAACCTGTCTGGAAACAACAGATTTAATCCTTTAATTTAAAGGTTACAGCATAAATGTTGAGTTAGATATAACTTGATTCCCAACTAATCTTACTGATTATGTAAGTATATAAGCCCCTCATTACAAGTTTGTTGGGATTCCCTCATTCTGTCTAATTTCTGAGTCCTTTTTTTGTTTTGTTTTATTGTTTAGTGATTTGCCATTCTTTTTAATCCCTGAAACATAAAACCTTCTCGCATATTATGGGGCACAGTGGTGTGAGACTAACACTGTCCCTGCATTCATAGGTGGTGAGTTACTCACAACAGAAGTTTGGAAATAACAACACATAATTTACAGAACTGTTATCCTATGGTGCAGGAAATATAGGGCCCTATAGAGGGATATCACAGGTAGGGCAGGAAAGGGCTCAAGGAAAAGTTACATTTGAACAACAAAATTGAAAGGTATGTAGAATTAGAGGATGAGAGAAATAATAAGGTTTTGTTGTTTTGCTTTGTTTTTAGATTTATTTTATCATTTTATGGGTACAAGTGTTTTGCCTGGTTGAGGGTATCAGATTTCTAGGAGAGTTACAGACCTTTGTAAGTTGGCATGTGGGTCCTCTGAAAGAACAGCCAGTGCTTTTAACTACTGAGCCAACTGTCCAGCCCAATAATAAATAATTTTAGTAGAGTCAATAATAGCATGTTTTGAAAGCCTGATGTTAATAGAGAAAGTAAAATACTGGGGAAACTAAAGAAAAGTCAGTCTGGATGGAAAAGGAAATAAGCCATGAGACATGCAGCTACAAAGCTAAATACTGTCTCAAACCATGCTAAGGCTTTAGACTCAGGGTAGTCAGGAGCCATTAAAGGGAAGGAAATGACCTGATCAGATACAGACTTTTCAAAACATCTCTATTACTGGAAACCTGTTAAAGAACTACCAGGGAGAACAGGGTGGAGAGGACCGTTGCTTAAACCAGGGGCAAAGCACTACTAACGAGTTCTCTCAGGAGTCACCAGGAAGCTGGTGATTGAGTCATGGCTCAGATGGAAGGATGAGAAGAGACTTGCTACTGGATTTTGTTTTGAAAACCTGGTGGATATAACCATTTACTGAGGTAGAAACATGAGGAAAGTTTGGGGAGAAAGATGAGTTTACTTTTGTACTGAACAACATATTGCATAAGAGGCCTGGTAAGGAGATAGATGGGTGCTGGTTGTAGGGGGAGAATTAGACTATACAGATGTGAGTCACCAGAAAGGGGAGTAGCCTTGGGGAACAAATGTGACCCCCCCCCGGGAAGCACATTAGATTGACAAATGAAGAGAGCGAAGGATAGAGGGCCCTGAAATTTCTCTCACAGTTTAAGGATTGACTAGGTGGAGGAAGAGCAGTAAGGAGCATGAAAAGGAAGAGGGCTCCTGTGAGAACATTGCCGAAGTTAGAGGTCTGCAGAGATGTCTCGGTGGTAAAGCACTTAACTGCTGCAGAGTTTAGATGATTGCTGTGAGAAGTGAACTTGAGCACCTAGCTCAATTATGTTCTGCTATGCAGATTTCTCCCAGCAGCCTTGACACCCCAGATGCAACTAAAGGGACAGTTAGTACCCAAGGTTGGTGTTTTTTGCAAGGTCACTGAAGTGAAGGGCACAGGGAGTTTAGAGTATTGATAAGAGATGACTTAAAATTTTAGACTACAGGCTATAAGCTAGATAGGGAGAAAAGTGAAGGTCTGATACCAATGGCAAATAAGAGAGCACTAGATCAAAGAAGTTGATATTCAAGCAGGAACATTAAACAACTGATGGACGTGAGAGGACAAGCTCAAAGTCAGACCTGGAAGGTAGTGTGGAGTTCAGAGCTGGTGATAACGGTCTAGGGGACCTTTAGGAGCCGAGTACTTCCAGCTCTGACAGCCTCCTAAACCCAGGTCTGTGCATCCACCTCAGCCTTTGAGCTCTTTTGGCATGATGGAAAGAGGAAAAACGGCAACTCAAGCCACCTTCAGAGCCATCAGTAACTGATGAGTCATCAGAAATTTGGTAGCTAAGGGCTGAACTGCAGACATAGCTTCACAGGAGCCTGAGCTTATGCTAAGATGGCTCATTTGGCTTCTTTCTTTAAATGTGTGTCAGTGTTTTTGTTTCATTTTGTTGCCGACGTGTGTGTCTGAACCTATGGAGGACAGAAAAAGCATCAGATCCTCCAGAATTGGAATTACACATGGTTATAAGCTGCCATGAAGGTACTGAGAAATAGACATGGGTCTTCTGGAAGAGCTACAGGTGCTCTGAACTAATGAGCTGTCTCTCCAGCCTCATGGCTTAAAATGCTCTTAATATGCCTTTATCTGATATTTCTCCTTTGCTTGCAGAAATTCTCCCCTTAAAACTGCCTGTCCACTCCCTTGCAATAAAATCTCCAAACACTTTGTTGTGCTCAAAAAAATGAAAGCTGAGAGCCATTAATCTGTCATTCAGGACCTTTGTGTCCACATTGTTCCCTCATCTTCGTTTCAATGCACTCAGATAATTTCCAAACCCCATTTCCTGCAAGTACTTCATTCTTGTATCATGTGATCATGTCCTGAGTCTAGTGCATCTCCACATCTGCATAGCCAATGCCTGCTGTACTTCAGGCCCCAGGAAAATGCACACCAAGCCTCTGCTCTTGAGTTCGGTACAGAAGGAATCACTCCCTTGTCCAGGTTTTAAGAGGAAGTCTTTGTTCTAATAAATGGCACTGACCATTGTCTGATTTTGTACATGCCTGTATTCTTTGTTGTCCCAAACTAAGTTCTTAGAGGACAAGGTTTGTTCCCTTTAGTGCTTTACACAATATAAACATGGAATAAGTAAATAAGCATTTAAGGCATCTTATTGTTCATTGTATTTTTATTGTCTTTCTTATGAGGAATGTTTTAGTAATCATATTTGTCAACATTCATTTGGAAAGAAATTTTAAGCCTTTTATTTGTTCTTGAAATTTTTAAGTGTATGTATTGTGCTTATATTTACAGCCCCATGCAATCATTCGTCATACCATTAGATCTACAAACAGAAATTCCAGAGCTGAACGGACAGCTTCAGAAATTAATTGTATGTGCATGCTATATATTTTTCATTGGTGGTCTTGGAGGGTTGGTCTGGGTATTCTTTTATTTTTTTTTATAAAATCTTAGATTAATTGAGGCTGCATACTTTATTATTTCAACAAACAGGTTGCTGTTCTGGTTTGGTTTTATTGTAATATTATTGTGCTTTTAAATAGTTTTTATTTTTAATTATAAAGATAGTTGTGCCCATTGTAGGAAATTTACAAAAAAAATAGAAAATTTGCATAGCACATCATCACATAACCTACAGACATCCAATTTTTTTCTGGCTGCTTTCTTTGCCATGAATATTTCGTGCGGCTAAAATTGTACTTTGACATAATAGAGAAGCATTTTCTGTTGCTGGCACTGGCTTTTTAACTACACACTGTGTTGCAGTTTGAGTCATTTGTTTCATACTGTAGGAAATAGTCTTCTGTTATTGGGCATTTGGGTGGGTTTTAACTATTGTAGATCAATATGAAGATAACTCTTCACAGATACTTCAAATGGAATTTTGATTTTTTTTTAATTTAAGAGTTAATCATAAACAGACAAAAATTTTATATCAACCACCTTTGTCACCTCAACCACATTTTAAAAACAGAAGTTTGGATAAGGATTTCCTGGCTTAGATATGTATTGTTTCATGAAATTAAAGTAGTTCGTTATAAAATGAGATGCATGACTAACAATACAAATAGAATTTTAGCCATAATGAGATAAGGTAATTCATTAAGTATTTGAACCAATTAGGATTCTTACCGATGATTATTAATTTGCTCTCTGCATTTTATTTTATTTTCATTTTTTGGGAGGTGGCTGTATTGCCCAGGCCAGCTTGAAACTCACAGTGGCTTTTCTTCCTCAGTCTCCAGGGTCCTGAGACTGTAGGGTGTACCAGCACACCTGACTTAAGTCTGTTTTCTTTAAACCAAGTATTCTTAGCTCTTTGAAAGATTGTCTTTCCCTTACCTGTTGTTCAACAGGACTTGTCATAGATAAGCGAGTAACAACTCAAGACTCGGTGCCTTTGTTAGTGCTAGTGCCCAGCTTGCTGTCTTTCTAAAATTATTTATTATGTATCTACTGAGCCATCTTGCCAGAGTCTTGTTGCTTCTTGTGAAAAATTTCTGAGGGCCCCAGATGCCTTTTTGATAAAGCTATATTTACTTTGTGTAGCTATATAATATTCTTTTAAGGTAATCTTACTTGTCTTTTATTTATCGCCTTTGCATTTTATGCTGTATTCTCTGTTTTAATTTATTCATTTTTTTTATTTGCATGTGTGAGTGTTTAGCCTGCATGTATGCAGGTATACATGAATGTTCCTGGTGTCTGCAGAGGTCAGAAGAGGGCATAGAATCCCCTGAACCTGGAGTTACTGGAGTTAGGGTTAGTTGTGAGGCACCGTGTGGGTGCTGGGCAACATCTTCTAGGTCTTCTGCAAGAGTAACAAATGCTCTTAACCACTGAGCTTTTCTTCAGCTCCTTATGTTATGTTCTTGATTCTGAGACTACAAAAAGAATGCTCTATGGTGTGTTCTTAGATACTTAACCCTTTGACATGAAGTTAGAATGTGTACAGTGAAAACTAGGCTTCAGTTCTTCTCCTGGGGTGACAGCCCATTGGGGTCAGTGCTGTTTTTCAAAATTTGTCATCTTTTTTTCTCATGTATTCAAGATACCATCTTTATTTTAGACCACATCCCCATGCCTGTCCCAGGACTTGTCTTCTGGGGTTCTGTTATGTTGCTTTGAGTGTCTGTTCGTGTACAGCAGCACACTTGCGAGGGTTCCATCTGCTAAAGTGTTCTGACCGCTTCTGCTCCTGCCCCTGCTTCTCGCCCTCCCTCCGTGTCCAGATACACACATTGATGTTCTCCTTTTAATTATATCTGATTACTATAGAAATACATTTTAGAATCTGGTTATCTCATTTTAAAATTTATTTTTGCTGATGTGACTAGATTTACATATTAACAGTTGACATCTTTACAATGCTCAGCCTTAACTAAAAGACCTTCCCTCCCCCCTTTGGGGGGGAGAGTCAAGATTTGGCTTTCTTCACAAGTGCTCAGAATACTGATGTTTTCATTGAGTGTCCTTTAGATAAAGTTGAAGTCATTTTACTGGTGATTTTTTTTTTTTTCTGTCTTTACATTTAAAGAGTTCTCCTTTTAAGGATACCAGAGTGTTTTATGGCTCTGTTCTTGCTTGCTTAATAGATTTCAGTTTTATCTTGGTTTTTGCTTCAGTTTTCTTAAGCTGGGCTGGTATTTTGTATATAGTAAAATGGTCCAGTCTTAAATGTGACAGATGGTAAAACTTTGCAGATATGTATACCCCATGTCACTGTCGCCCTGCTCGGTGTAGAACATAACCAGATCTCAGAATTGCCATGCTCTGTCACAGTCAATAGAATTCCACCCTCCCCTCTATCCAGATTAACTTACACTCTGATCCCTGTGACATGGGTTCCTTTTTAACCGACCTTGACTTTGAGACAAGTAGCATGATACAGTGGACCCTTTTCTTTACCTCAGCCATATCTGTGAGTCATTCACACCAGTGTATAGGACTACATGGTAGTGAAATTCTACATTTATGAGTATATTACAACTCACCCATTCTTCTGTTGACTTTGTTTTAGGCCATTGTATCATTCTATGTATTCTTACTTTATACTTTTAGTGAACATTAATAATTTTTGAATCTGGCTGTTGATATAATGAAGTATCTGAGGCAAACAAAGGAAGAAAGATTTGCTTTGGCTCGTGTCTCTTGAGTTTTCAGTCCATGGTCATTTGGCTATATTGTTTCTGAGCCTATAGTGTGTCAGAGCAGTATAATTGATATTCATCATGGAAGAGCTGTTGACCACATTGGATGAGAACTCGGGAGTGAGTTGAACTGGCCAGAGACAACATGCAGTCCCCAAGGATCGACTCCCTCAAGTCAGGCCCCACCTTTAACTCTAAGTCATCTCCCAATGGCCTTTCTGTTTATGAGCCCATTATTTAATTAATGCATTTTGGGGTCACAGCCCTCATGAGCCAGTCACTTCCCCAAAGCCCATCGGCTAGATTTTAGCACGTAGATTTTCATGGACATTTCACATCAGACCATAATATATCCAGGGTTAGACTGGCCAGGGATAAAGAAATAGTCCAACAAAGTCACAGCTCTTCATTTTTTTGCAGTGGTATAAGATATACCGTAGAAACCATGTGGCATCTTATCTAACAAAGAAATAGAAGAGGCATAGAAGGAGCAGAATCGAGGGCCTGTTAAACTAGTGGCTCACAGTGAGGCATGTGAGTGGGGAAGGGTGGGCACCAGGCCTGCTCTGAGAGCAGGCTCTGAAGCCTCCTGTAGCTGAACACTGTGGCTAGAAGGGCCTTTGTTTGAAGCTCAGTGTCTGGGTCGGATCTGAGTCAGTGACTTAGATCTTCCAGACGTCATACGATGATTCACTGTAATGAACATGATTTCACCAGGCAGGTCCCTGGCAGCCTGATTTAAAGAGCGGTTTCTCAGTGAGAAAGCGGTGTAGCTCAGAGGGTGTTCATTTCATGAAAAGTGTCACGTGCAGCAGAGTAGCCTTGGGAGGAACTGTGCTCCTTCTGGCCTTTGCATTTGTCCTCCCAGGCTAGTGAGTACCAGGAAAAATTTTCTCTCTCACTCTTTCTTGGGTCAAGATATAGACATAGTATCATTGTGGCACTTAATCTCAGACAGGAGGATGGCAAGTGTTCAGGACCAGCCAGAACTACATGGTGAAATAAATAAATAAACAAATAATAAATAAGACAAAAGGACAGGTAAATGAAAATTTTAAACAAGCTGCTGCCCCCAACTCCAGTTTCTGCATCCATCACAGGCCTGTGCTGAGACACACTTAGTTTCCAGTCTTAAGCCAATTGCGCTCTGGTTCTGTTGTCTGATGAAGGTCCGTTAAACTTTGCTCAAAAGTACTTTTTCAATTTCCTGTGTTCAGCCAAGAATTAAGCATAGGAGCTAGGGGAAATCCCAGATTGCTACTTTTCCTGGGTTAGTGTGAGGTGTCTTACAGAAGAAGTAGTGAGGTTTCTCTCCTGTGCCTCTGCTTTTCCTCCCTCTCAGCAGTGTTCATTCTCATTTCGTTCCTGAAGTTAACCGCTTAAGATGTGTGTGTGTTTATATATATTTGTGTATCTGTTCTATATTTTTCAGTTGACAAATTACAGTGTGTTTATATATATTTGTGTATCTGTTCTATATTTTGTAGTTGACAAATTACAGTTTGAACCTCCTCTGAGGAAAGAAACAGAAGCCCGGGATGAAATGGTAACTAACTGACTTTAAAATATTTCATATTAAAATTTGAGAAAACCTTGAGTGAGATACATTTTAAGAAATTAAGTACCTACTTTTTATACATATTAACTATACTAAAGTGTTAAAAATTCATAATTAGGTATTTTGGCGATATTACAGGCAATGTAGTTTGACCCACCTATTTCAACACTCACAGGCTTTTGAAGGATGTATATAAATGACCAAACACTAGCCTGGACTTGGCTTTTTCCTTCTCCTTGTTCGGTTTGCAGTGAGCACAGTTCGCTTTGCTTTACTATGTGAAGTATCTTATCTGTGGGGTGGGGCATTGGTTGTTAGTGGGTCAGTTGTTGTGGGTCCTGTCATCTGTCTGTTACTGTAGCTTCTTCTGCTGTGTTTGTTGTTTGTGCGATGGTCTCACTGTGTACCTCAGGCTGCCCTTGAGTTGTTACAGTCCTCCTGCTTCAGCTGCCTAATGCCAGGGGACAGGCATATGTCTTCAAACCAGAAGAGACATCATTTTGAGATTAACTGCATATTTAGCCTTTTATATAAAGGAATAAATAATAAGATATTGTTAGGATTGGCCTAGAAGGCTCCTTAATGTCTACTTCTTTTTCGTCAATGAAAGTGCCATTTCTAGGCCAGGTTCTGGTGGTGGTGGCACACACCTTGAATCCCAGCACTGAGGAGGCAGCACAGAGAAACACTGTCTAGGGGAGAGGGGTTCGTTTTTTAGTGGATTTTAGTGGCATTCTTCTTAGTACTTATTTCTGTAGACACTAGCATTTTCCATGCTTGGCTATTTAATTGTCTTGACTGATGCAGTAGTTATGCATCAGATTTGTGTGGGTTGTCCGTTTTGTTTGTTTCTGCTTTTCAGATTGAAAGCTGTATTTAATAGATGTGGGGAAGTGATTAAGTTTACATCAAATGATAATGAGTCATTGATCTAAATGTGTCAAAATGATAGAACAGATTATGGAGATACAAAAACTGATTGGATGTCATGGTAACTAATAGCCACAATGCTGGGGTTCTCTAGAAGCAGATAAAATGGCTGATACATAATTAGTGAATCAAATAGTAGACATTAACTCGGTTAATATCTGTGAAAGTAACATTTTAAACTGTGATCTGCACAGGGACTACCGTCAGACCCAAATTTTATATTACATTGGAATCCTTTTGTGGATGGTGCAAATACAGGCAGGTAAGTTGTTTTGTATTAATAACTTGATTATATGAACACCTTTTATGGGGATTTGACTTTAAGTTGTCAGAGCTTTGACTTACATTATTGACAGAAAGCATCATGAACTATTTGGTATGGTTTTTAAAGGGTCTCTTTGGTTTAGGGGGATTTTTATGTGTTTTCTTCTGTTTGTTTTTGTTTTGTTTTCCCATGTTTTCTTTGCAAGAGAATCATGTTACATAGCTTGGCTTCCTTGGCACTTCCTAGTTAGGTCAAGCTAGCCTTGAACTTGCAGCCATCTTCCTGCCTCTGTCTCTCAAGTACTGGAGTTGCAGGCATATGTCACCATTCCTGGCATGGTTTTTGTTTTAGTCCTCATTTATTTTATGTAATGATAATGTATTAAAAATATGTCATTGGGGGGAAAAATACTATAGTGGTGGTCAGAAAACCCTCATTCTGTTTCTCTAATGTAGTTTCTTCATATTCTAGACCTGTCTTTATTCAGCAGTGAATAGAGGGGCTGGCTTCAGTGAGTCATTGAATGGTTTACATGTGTGTGCATTTCAGTTACCTACAGAATTCATTGAAAATGTAGACTTCTGGGTCCCCATATTAGGCCAGTAGAGCTGTGGTTGGCAAACGCTGGCCTGTGGGTCAAATCTAGCTGCTGCCCATTCACTAAGAATGGTATTTAGGGAGAAGAGGATGGAGAAGCAGGGAGGGAGGGGGAAAGAGGATAGAAAGATGACTCAGCAGTTAAAAGCACTTGCTTTTGTTCCCGTGGACATGGGTTTAGTTCCCAGCACCCACATTGGGCAGCTCATAACTGCCTATAACTCCATTTTCAGAGAAACCAGTGACCTCTTCTGTACGTGACCGCTGAGCTGCCATTGCCGCTCAGGCTTTGGTGTGCCAGCTGGTCGCCTGAACTCTGCAGGATCTGGTACAATGGACGTTCAGAGTGTCCGATTGTTTATCTAGGGGCCTCCCTCGAGTAATAAAGGGTTAATAATGCAGCCATATGTACTCACGGGCTCCAGAATTCTGAATTTCATTGTTTGGTTGTTTTGTTTCTATTTGCTTTTATTTTAATTTGGTTGTTGTTGATGTTTGGTTTTGGGGGGGGTTTGTGTTTGTTTTTTATTGTTGGGTTTTTTGTTTTGTTTTGCTTTGCTTTGCTTTTTAAGATACGTTCTCATATAACCGAGGCTGCCCTTGGGTCCCCTGTTCTGCCTTGCCTCTGCCATCTTGGTGCTAGGATTATGGGCATGTGACACCATATCCTACTTGTAGTGGGAAATTTTAAATTTTATTTTTTAATTTTTTATAAGTACACAACCCTGTTTTGTTTATGTACTTCTCATTAGTTTAAATCCTTCAGGGACACAGCATCACATGTATTCTATACACAGTGCTTTAGCAAAAAGGTAGCATAGAATGTGGCCTGCACCGTGTTGCTGTCCCCGTGCCGTGACTTAGCTCTCCCGGCCGCCCAGGTTCTGTTGGTTTACCCCCAGCACTGTTCTCTGCCTTGTGCACATCAGCGCATCTCCTGCTAAAGCAAAACTCCATTTCCCCTCAAGCATCAACACCTCTCGTTTATAAAAGACTCTGCATCCCCTTATTTCTAGGGACCCTGATTTTGCAAATGAAGTGGCTTGCACCCTCACCTTCCAGACTCACACCTGTCTTTCAGGAGGCTCTGTCCTAAGCAGGGTCTCCCCAGGCTCTAAGGTAGTGGGTGGCTGTTCTGTCCATGCTAACCACGTGCTATGCCCCTGGGCTGCACTGTACCCAAAGCCTGAATTTGTCTTTCTCTTTTAAGCTTAATCTGATTTGACTTATACATCAAGTACAGCAAAATACAACTGAAAAAGACTTTGTGCCACTTTGTAATTTTTTTATGGCTCTGCGAGTGCAGTCTTAGAATTCGAGGTCTTAGGGTTCTGTCATGCTGTTTGTCTCAGAGCTTCTGTTTGTAAACATTTTAGTGCATATTTGGTAAGTGTTGTGTATGTTACAATCACATATGACCATCTGAATTGAGTTTTTCTCTTTGATTAGGTCAACCTCTAAGCGTGCAGTACCGCCTCCCCTACCTCCTAAGGTGAGCTGCTGAAGGATTTTGGATGACAGATCCTTCTTTACCTAATCACATTTTAAAAATAATTTCATTGACTTTGTTCACATTTTTAAGTTTATTAATTTTCTTTAGAAGTTGGGTTTGAAAATGTAAAGTACATAGCAAAGAAGATTTTGTATGAAATACACCTTAATAAATGTCAGAAAGAAATGTGTTTTTTGCTCTTTTGGAGAAATGTTTGACTATGTGGTGGAAGATAAAAAGTTTATAAAGTTTTAATAGAATTAGTCTTCATTTATTCATTGTCAGTTTCTACTTAGTTAAATACTTAGCAACTGCTTGCATAATTTTATTGGTTATAAAAGTTTTATGACTTGGGGTTGCGACTCATCTAGAACTCACATGTTAAGGTTCTGCTGAGCAGTGGCTCACTTTTGCTGAAGGTTACGATGACTAAGAGTACTTTCTTATCCTCTCCTCATTAGCCACGGATAAACAGTTACCCCGAAGACAGCCTTGCAGATGAAGAAAAATCAGCAACCGTCAAACGTTGCCCTGATCCAGAGACCAGAGCACCTCATGTTCTCAGAAGGCAGAGTAGCCCAAGCTGTGTTCCTGTAGCAGAGACATCCTCTATAGGTACAAGCAGCATGGCAGCAGTCCCGGAATGCAGCTAGATACCATGGTCTGGACGGTCAGACAGATGGGAAGGAAAGGCGCTCTTCCCTGGCTTTAAAGTGTCGTCATTCAGTCGTCAGTCCTTTTGTAGTTCAAGCCTTATTTCTTTGCTTTAATTACACACAAGTGGGTATAATAGATTCACACCATTTCAACCTACTTCAATCCTGTAGTAAATGTTACAGGATCCAAAGGAGGTGCCCGTGTTCCTGCCCTCCAGGAGTCGGGCTGTGATAGACATTATTCCTAGGTATACATAACAGTACAAAAGATGGCTCAGCCTGGTAATACTTGCCTGTTATCCCAGCATTCCAGAGGCAGAGGCAGGCAGATCTCTGTGAGTTCAAAGCCAGCCTGGTCCTGTTCTAGGACTGCCAGTACTATTACACAAAGAAACTATTACAAAAAAAAAAAAAAAAAAGACAAGTCTTTGTAAATAATCAAAAAAAAAAAAAAAGGCCTGATGGAGGGAGGAAAAGAAAGATGACTAGTGTGGTATTTCCTGAGAATAAATGAGTCGAGCCCTAATGTTTCTAAGGGAGGTGGAGACGGACAGTAGTGGGGATGGGCTGTTGGAGGGTGGTAAAGGGCTCGATGAACTTACAGGAGGGAGAGCTAATGCTTAGGCATTCTTGGAGAATAAGAAGGATTGGGCAAATACACTAATGCAGAAACATGAGTCATGTTTGACGCATTCTAATATGGTGGAAGAGTGCTACTTAAAGAGAAGGTAGGACTGAAAGAGTAGATTGACACTCTGTTGGGGAAGGTCTGGAGTACCAGTGGGCTAGATTTCATTTGCTCACAGTATGTTTGGCATAACTTAAGAACGCAACTAAGAAGGATGCAGTGCAACCTAAGAGTCTGAAGGACAGGACCAAAGGTAAATAAACTCATGTGGCAGAAATGTGCTCTGACAGACTCACCCAAGAGGAAGGGAGAGGATGAGGAAAAGAGAGGTTTCTCTTCGAGGAATATTCTTCTTTGTGTACTCATTCAACTTTAACCACGGTTTCCTCAGGAAATGGTGATGGCATTTCAAAACTGATCAGCGAAAATACAGAGGGATCAGCGCAAGCTCCGCAGTTACCTCGAAAAAAGGACAAGAGGGACTTCCCTGTGAGTACAGCGGGCACTCAGCCAGTGGTTGTAAGTAACGGTTTTCATAGAAGGGGCGGGAGCAAGAAGAAGAACTCGGGGCAGTTGCCCCGCTTCACCAGTGGCTGGAGCTCAGAAGTCTGGGGTCAGGATGACAACACAAAGGCTGCCTTTCCTGTGGAGAGAGGGACGGCTCAGCCGTGAGAGCATTGGCTGCTCTTCCACAGGGCCTGGGTTCAATTCCCACACCCATGTGACAGCTGACACCTTCTTCTGGCCTCCACAGACACCAGGCACACACAGGTTCACATACATACATACATGCAGGCAAAACACTCATATACATAAAATTAAAATAATCTAATAATAAGTTTTATAGTAACTGACACAGTAAATGACCAAAGTTTTGTTTTTAACCCTAGAGTTTCTTACAGTGTTTAAAAATTACTTTAAATTTATTTTACAGAAACCAACTATCAATGGCCTTCCACCCACCCCAAAAGTTTTGGTAAGGATTGTTCATGTGATTTACTGATTTTTTTTTTTTTTAATCTTTTTAGGAGAAGTAGAAGTAGATTTCCTGTCAAGTACATTGAACCACTAAAAGAATATTGTAGAAAATAATGTTGGTGGATAGATTTGAATGTGCTGTTGTCAGACCACAGACTCCAATTTGAGTGGATTGGTTAACATTTGGAGACTAACATCAGGTCTATAACCTTAGCACTCCATAGACTAAAGCAGAAAGATCAGGGGTTCAAAGTCAGCCTGGCCCACATAGTGAGTTCCAGGCTATATCTGAGCAATCAGCTATTTAAATAAAGAAAAAGAAGAGAAGGCGGGAGTGGGGGGGTGGGGGAGAGGGGACAGAGAACAAACAAATCAAAATTGAGGATTCATAAATTCTGGCAGTGGGTTACCTGATTAGGTCTTGATTTTAATGTGATGTTAATATTGGGCCTTTTTCCTTATTCAGTCAGTGCCTTTCTCCATTCTCACCCTGAGCTATGCACAGTGAGAAAAAAGAAGGAAGCTTAGCCTAACTCTTCTGTGTCCTCCTGTGCTGAGAGGCATCAGTGAGGGGATGCTGCCCACCATGGCAACAGCGTGCTTTGTGAATTATGCTCACTTACTAGTTAATGTCCAGAACAGAAACTTGTTCTTCTTGTCAGTTACGTATATTCTAGAATTACACTGCCGTGATGCTGAAAAAAAATAAAATATTATTTATTCTACTTTAATGACAGTCCTGAAGTAATAACCTGAATTCTTACAGCTCATTAAAAATGTAGATATTTGGTAGATTTGATACATTGACCCTAAGGGGGAAAGAAAGTGAAGACTATCTGTCTTGGTAGAAAACATTTAGCTGTGTTAAATCTATATTTTGTTTTGAGATAAAATCACAAAGGTTTCTTCGAAGAATCTGACATTGCATGATTTTCTAAGACTATTAAAACTACATAATGAAATAAGCCACATATTTTTCTTTATAAACAAGATGGGAGCATGTTTTTCCAAAGTATTTGATGGCTGCCCTTTGAAAATTAATTGTGCAACATCCTGGATACACCCTGATACAAAAGGTACAAGTTCTGAATTGTATATATACCTCCTATAAATGTTTACTGTACAGAAGATCTTTGTGATTAGTGGAGTGGGGTGGTTAACTTTAAAATTGTCACCTTAGATACTAAATGAGATAGGGCCTTATGAGGAGTTCATTAAGTCAGTAGGCTTTGGTTCAACTGCATTAAAGTTAAATAGTACAGGAACTGTTCTTGTAAAGGAGGCTAAAGAGCTATCACAACTATGTATCCTTAATTTGTACAGTTCATAATCAGCCACTAGGATCTATAGGCAGTGGGTACTTTGTTTCAGTCTCATTTTAAAAAAGAAAAAACAAATATACACTGAAGTCTTTAGGAGTAAAGGGGTTTGTGCTCATAGCTTAGCTTGAAGGTATACGTGGGTATGAAGAAGATACAGTTCAAGATCAGTCTGATCTGTATTAAGATGACGTCATAGGTAGGTAGGTAGGTAGGTAGGTAGGTAGATAGATAGATAGATAGATAGATAGATAGATAGATAGATCAGGAAGCTTGTTCATATTTGTGTTCTACCATCTCTGCTCATTTTAATTTCTCTACTCTAACATTCAGCTCAAAACTCCATGTCAGTTTAGTCATTTTGGATGTTTGAGCCATGCTCAGTAAGATGCATCTATTGCTGTGACTGCTTTAACGCTTACATTTTTCCAGGATTGAAGACAGTAGCTGTCTCCTTCAGTGTGGGGACAGTTCTCTACTTTCCTGCTAGTTCAGTTTTCCTTCCTCAGAATCAATCTTTTCTCCAAGAAGCTCTGACTCTTTTTTACAGTAATAGTATTTAAAAACCAACATCTCAACAGATGTACTCATTATTTGTGTGTGTCGTGATTTTTTGGTTTTTATTTAATGTATATTTGAGCATTTGAAGTGTCTTGCAAAAACATACCACTATAACAACAGTCAGTTGTAGGCAGCATTAAATAGTTAAGTCTTACATGGCTTCTATTTACTTCTTAAAACATGGGAAAGAGACATGGTGGCATGAATGTTTAAAAACAGTTGTACTTTGGTGCATGTGTGGGAATGTAATGCTGAATGTCATCACTACATAGAGACCTGAGTGTGCAACTTCAGGAAATAACACTAAGTCTGGTAATTTGCTGTTATAGATCAGTACATTATTTTTGGAACTGAAGATGGTATTTATACATTGAATCTCAATGAACTACATGAAGCAACTATGGAACAGGTAATAAAATTGTTAACTTAAAGAATTAATTTGAACAAATTGGATAAAAGAATTATCATTTTAAATCCATTTGTACAGGTCTTAATCTTAGTTAAAGGGGTGACCTGGTACTGACTTCATGCTCATGTTGATTTTTTTTCTCTTAAGGTTTTGGTAATTTTTCCAAAGAAATTACCAAAATTTTTATAATACCATTTGTTTTGTTTTGCATGGTGCTGAGATCAATCCCAGAGCCCTGTGCATGCTAGGCCCATGCTCTGCCACATGCCGGGCCCATGCTCTGCCACATGCCGGGCCCATGCTCTGCCACATGCTAGGCACATGCTCTACCACATGCCAGGCCCATGCTCTGCCACATGCCGGGCCCATGGTCTGCCACATGCTGGGCTCATACTCTGCCACATGCCAGGCCCATGCTCTACCACATACCAGGCCCATGCTCTACCACATGCCAGGCCCATGCTCTGCCACATGCCGGGCCCATGCTCAGCCACTAAGTCACATCCCCAGCGGCACCACTTTATTGCTTGGGGGTTTGGGGGCCGGGTAAGAGGAGAGAATCAAAACTGTGCAGGTTAATAATCTTCTTCCTCATCCTCTTCAGTTGTTTCCTCGGAAATGTACCTGGCTCTATGTCATCAATAACACGCTGATGTCATTATCAGGTATGCATGATTGTGAAAACCATAGACAAGCAGAGGGATGAAATTTTAGTGTACACTGTGTAACAGTGCCATTCGCTGTTTGAGAAGGGTCCTGTCTTCTGTGAGGGCTGCATTTCCCGGCCCCTTTCCCCATTTCCTTCCACACGGTGCACCATTGCTGCTGCTAGCATGCGATGGGAGGGAGCAGAGTCAAGCTACCTCCTTTCTCCATGAATGCCAGCAAACCACTCTTAACCTCAGTTTTCTTAATTACCAAATCAAGACTGAGGCATTAAAAACAAAATAACAAAAACCAGTCTCATGAGATTGTTGTAAGGGTTAAGTAAAACAGCCCAGAGTGCTGAATAGGTTGTGAAGTCTTAGACAATGCTTTAGAGTCTGCTAGTCCAGGGAAATAGATGGGTCTTCTGAAGAGCGCTTTCCACCAAGCATGAGGACCTGAGTTCTGTCCCCAGCATCCTTGGAGAAAGGTAGGTGTGGTGGTGCACACTTGTAATTCCAGTACTAGGGAGGCAGAGGCAGGAGGCTCCTTGGGGCTCAGGAAGCAAGAAACTGAGCCTAATGGGTAAGTTCCAGACCATGGAGAGAATCTGTCTCATAATCAAGAAAGACATTGACTAAAGAACAGCATTCAGTATTGGCCTCTGGCCTACACATTCACATGGATCTAATGACTAAGCACTAAAATCTGTGAGCCTATGGGGGCCATTCTTATTCAAACTACCACACCCACCAAAAGATATTTTCTTATATATTGGACTTACATAGCTGCATGCAGACTGATTTCATGTGTAGTACAAGATAGCTCATTGATATTTCTCCCCAGTGGAGATACTTCAGGAACCTGTATTTGAGTAGTAACGATGGTAATGAAAAATAGCCTTGTGTGTAAATGACTTGTTAAGAAGTGGGATCCTTGACAGCAGTGGTTCTCTACTTCCTAATGCTGTGGCCCTTTAATACACTTCTTCATGTTGTGGTGACCCCCATCCGTAAAATTATTTTCATTGCTACTTCATAACTTATTTTGCTACTGTTACAAATCATAATGCAAATATCTGTATTTTCTGAGATCTTAGATCACTCTTGTGGAAGGGTCATTCCATCCCCTAAGGAGGCCACTACTCTAGAGTACTTAATTGCTTTGGTTTTAATTATGATTAGCCTGTCGTTTCTTATTTCATTTAGCAAATATTCATATATTACTCCTGTGAAAAGAAACAAACCCAATTCTATTTGAATGACTCCTGAATCTCTTAGCAGACTTAATTCTGTTTCTTTTATCTGGTATAAACCCCCTGGGTGGTAGCCATAGGTGGGATTTTACAATATGGGCAGTGAATCGCTGATAGGGAGTTTCCTTCCAGGTGTGGGTCAAGTAGCTCTAGGTCTTGAAAACAACATCGAAGGTGAAGTTGCCCAGGGTGGCATTCAGCCCCTGGCTTATGTGCAACAGTCATCAATACCAGCCAGCAGCAGCTTCTTGGGCACAGGAACAGGGATAATGCCAGGGCCTCTGGGAATGGGATGAAACACACCAGCACAGAGTGACAGCGGCCTGTCACCTTGCATGGGATGGTGTAGGGTTTGCTCATTTTGTTCCCCCAGTATTCTCTCCAGACAGGGACAGGATGAAAGCTTGGCCAAGGCAATGGCTCCTTGGATGGTAATGGCTACCTCCTGGAGAACACTTAACACCAAGACCAGCATGACCATTGTGGTCCCAGTAGCAACAGAACCCTTGAAGCTGGCTCACTGCTGTGAGTCTGCTCCTGTGCTTACCTCATCCTTTAGGGATGCTTCAGGAAAAGGCAATGGTTGTAGATTCCTTGATGGCAAGGAGAGGCAGATGGCCCTCCAGGGGTTTGACTTCATGTCCTTGACCAGACAGGCCATCTTGGTGAAAAGGATCTATTCCTTGTCTTGTGCTCCATGATCCCCAAACCCTGTGAGACCATTGTGGAAACTTTCATGGCCTCTCAAACCTGAGTCTCCTAGGCTACCAGGGCCTCCTGCTGCACATCTGAGCAGTGGTTCTGAACTTTGTATGTAGCATAACTTTTCTTAACTCTTGCTGCCTTTATCATTAGACATAGCTGTCTTCAGATATAGCTTTAAAACCACACATAGTGTGCACCTTTTATTTTCATGGGATAAAATGGGATGGCAGGAGATAATTTATGAATAGTTTATTTCTGTAGTGCAGTTAGAATTACCCCTAAAATGGAAAGAACAGGAGTATTAGAAATAATGAGTCTAGAGAGGTGGAGAGGGAAAAAGATGCTGTGTTGGCCAGAATGTTTCTACTCTGAAAAAGACAGAAACTGTTGTGAGGGTAAAATACGCTATGGAATGTGTTTCCACATTAAAAGGGCAAGTGTTGCTATTGTGTGGCACCCTTTGTGAGGTATTATACTCAAAAATGTATTCAGTCAATTTTAATTGAAGTTAATTCAGTGGATTGCTGATAGATGGATCTGTCCCAAAGAGATAATGGCAGTATTGCAGACTTTTCTGTTTTGTTTGTAACACACGTGCACATCGGTGTTTAGCAGTTTCTCTTCCCTAGCATCAATTTTACATTCATTCTTCCCAGATTACCTGTTTGTCAGAACATGCCTAAACAGAATGATCTACTTGCTTAAAAGTAATTTTACCCCATTACTTCCAAATGTTAACCAGGCTTATTTGTTGTGTTTTTACATGCTTTTCTGTTCTGCTTGGTCCTTGAATGTTACCGGATTCGTCTTTTTAGAAGGTAATTGCTTTTTTTTTTTTTTTTTTTGGTGTTTTTGAGACAGGGTCTCACTATGTAGCTCTGGCTGTCATGGAACTCAGTATGTAAACCAAGCTGGCCTTGAACTCAACAGGGATTCACCTGCCTCAGCATACTCATTCCTGGGACTAAAGGCATGCGCCACCGCACTCGGCTAACCGCATTTTACTTGAAAACTGTCTTTTTTCCACTGGATTTTATCCTAGTAAAGTAACTTCCTTCTCCTTTGCAGGAAAGACCTTTCAGCTCTACTCCCACAACCTTATTGCTTTGTTTGAACAAGCCAGGAAGCCAGGGTTAGCTGCCCATATCCAAACTCATAGGTTTCCTGACCGAATTCTGCCAAGGTACAAAATACCATTTTGATCCTACTGGGGATGAGGGTATTTGTGTCTGTTTTTAAACTGCCAGTGTTCCTTGTCTGGTGAAACAGCTCCGTGTTCTTAATTTATGTGTCATCCAGACTGGAAGTTATTCATGCTTCCTGCATGAAAATTACTTATGGAAGTTTTATAACAAAGTCTTCATCCTATAAAATCATAATCTAAAGTCAGAGTCTGAGGTGCTTAGCTGGTTCATATGTCATCATATGGAGGCCACAATAGAGTTCATTCATATTGTCTTATATTTTCAGGAAGTTTGCCCTAACAACAAAGATCCCTGATACAAAAGGCTGCCATAAATGCTGCATAGGTGAGTAAATGCTCCTTCTCACACTTATACGGTCAGAACTTTAATGTCTTTAAAAGTCAGTCTAAGAGCTTACCCAGCTGTGGAACAGCATCATCCACACAAACCTTCCCCACCTCTCATGCCAGGATTGACCCCAAACCAACCTCAGGTTCAGAAATTGGCTAGCAGGACTCACTGACAGGTTTGATGCTCACAGTTCTGATTACACGTGAGAATATGCATTAAAATTATCTGTGCAGATGAGCATGTGGCAGATGCAGGGCTGCCAGGCATGACCCTGGTGCTGTAGTGGACACCAGTGTTGTCCCTTTATAGTGTGGCTCTGTGGTAGTTCACACAGCATTGCCAGTCAGGTGTTGGTTCAAGCATCCAAAAGGGCTTCATCACGAAGGCGTGTGATTGATTACCCACATGGCTATTCTCCCATCCAACCCCTCCATTGATCAGCTGATACTACATGAGTCAGAGCCCCCACCCAAAGTCATACTCTTGGTCTTTCTGGCATGACCAGTTCCTCATACTAAAATTATCTAGTGTTGCTGACCCCACCCTAAATTGTGTTGTTAGATGTAAGGCATAATGGGGGTTCAAGCATGACATTCCAAAGTCTTAGTGGTTGTTTCTGAGAGAGGAATGTTAAAGGGCGGACTTCTTTTGAAGCGGCAGTTACAATCTTTACTACATAACATAGCTATTTCATTTATCCCGTAACAGTTCTGGACATTGATTATGTCACAAGGGAGTCATAGAACCTAGAATCAGATCTGGGTGTAACCTGTACTAATCTTGGACTCCTAACTTCCAAAATTTGTTTGATCAGTGAGCTTACACATTTATCTTCATGAAAAGATACTCTGTAGAACAAAATACTCAACAATGTGCTCTGTCTGCAGTCATGTGTCACATCATAGTGCATGTGTGTCACTGGGTAATTTACCCATTGTACTTAAGTGACATGTCACCAAGTGATGTAGTCCCTGGAACCAACATAATAGACTCAAGCTTGGTCTGACTGAGATGTTGCACAGTTTGTGATGATGATGTAACCAGATTTTGGCTTCCAAGATCTGTGGCTCAGAAAGGTCTAGAATCCTAAGATACAGTTATGCAGAACTTAAAGCAAGTACCTGCTCACATAACCATTGTGTGTTGTGATTGTTGGGAGTCACACTGGGGAGAAAAAGAGGCCAAGATGAATTTTTACAGATTTGAGTCAAGGGTGTTACAGCAAGATGGATTAATACATACATACATGATAAATTATCTTCATGGTCCCTCAAGCTGCTCTGTCATGGGGACATGATATGGTAGTTTCAGCTGTCCCTAGACCTGTCAGATTTTATCCTTTCAGTTTATTTAGAAGCAGATTTGGGGTTTATAGAGTAGCTTACATGTTTAGAACTAATAGTATAGATCTCACCAAAAAATTCTCATGGTTAAGTACTCAGCATATTAAAGGCATTTAGAAATAAATATATGTGAGCTCCAATTGATATTTTTTGTTTAAATAAAAATGAAAGGTAGCATTTCTTTATTTTCTATCCATTCTCATCATCTTGATTAAGACAGCAGTTTGTCAGCTAAAAATAGTCAATTTTTTTCTTCTGTAGTACAGAAGTATTGGTTTACCACATGCCACTGACATTTCCTCACACCAGCAACTGCCTCCAAATAAATAATGAATAAATAAATAAATAGCTTGGGCCAGGCAAGGGGGTGCACATCTATAATGCCAGCACTTGAGAGACAGAGACAGGAGGATCTCTGTGAGTTCAAGGCCAGCCTGTTCTACAGAGCCAGACCATCCAGAGCTGTATAGTGAGACCCTGTCTCTCAAAAGAAAAGAAAGAGAGGTCTGTTAGCTTTTAGGTGAAGGTAATTCAGCTGTCACTTTTAGCTAAACTATTCTCTCACAGAAACTTTCAGTATTGTGCATGTGGGTAGGGTTATTATTTTTCTTTTTTCTTTCTCTTCAGTTAGAAACCCTTACACAGGACATAAATACCTCTGCGGAGCTTTGCAGTCTGGGATTGTACTGCTTCAGTGGTATGAACCGATGCAGAAATTCATGTTGATTAAGGTACATGTGGCTTTCTTACAGTTTCCTTCTTGATGATACACTGTGCATAAATGAAATAGGCTAAAGCTATAGTTACTGTTATTAGGGACAGCCCCTTACTGTTGTTAGGGACAGCCCCTTACTATTATTAGGGACAGCCCAGCCCCTAGAGTTTGTAGAACTGTGTGTGTGATGTTTTATATCCTTAGTAATATCTTTTCTGTAACTTATTGTTACTTAATAAGCTTCTAGAATCATCATATCCACAAACATTGGTGAGGCCAGTTCTCTAAGTTTCTCTAAAGGTACTCAACACTCATTGCCACAGAGGCGAGCTTGTACAGGATGAGGCAGATAACCACCAGGCTTGCAGCTGACTTCATTCAACATGGCGTGGACGGAAGGTTGCTAGATTTCTCTTTTTTTTCTCTTGTTGTTTGTTGCAGCACTTTGATTTTCCTTTACCAAGTCCTTTGAATGTTTTTGAAATGCTGGTGATCCCAGAACAGGAGTACCCCATGGTTTGTGTAGCTATCAGCAAAGGCACAGAGTCAAACCAAGTAGTTCAGTTTGAAACAATCAACTTGAATTCCGCATCTTCCTGGTTTACAGAAATCGGTGCCGGTGAGTGTTTTTCCACTGTGTGTTCAGATAGCCATGTTTTTGCCTGTACTAGATGCAGAGGACTTGATTTCAACCGTTGTGGGCTCCCAGTGCAAAATGCAAGCATAATTTCCCACGTAAGCTCAAGAAATTACCTACATGTAGTTTGCCCGAGGACTTTTAACATAGGTGGTACACATACTTGTAGGTGTCAGTAGTTCTCCCCTTACCGTATGTGGATTCTAGGGCTTGCACTAACTCGGTCAGACGTGACAGCAAGCATCTCATAGGTCTCTTGCCCAAAGAAACTTTATACTAAGGAGTTTTAAAATTCTTGACATTTAAAAGTCCCAGTTGTTGACAGGCTGGAAAGATAGCTCCAGGGTTAAGAGGTTGCTGCTCTTGTAGAGGGCCCAGGTTCAGTTTCCCAGCACCCACAAGATAATGGCTCACAGCTCTAGTTCCCAGGGGCTCTGATGCCATGAGCACCAGGCATGCATGTGACATAGAGCCACACATACAGGCAAACACTCATACACATAAATTAAAAAACACTTTAATTTCAAGTCTGAGTTGTTACCAGTTTGTCTTTGGCCTTACTAAATAGTTATGTATCTCAAGCTAAGAAAGTTCCCTTTTCTCCCTGTCCTGTTTATCCTACCCATCCCACAAACATACACACACCCTATTGCAACTGGTGCTGTGCTCTGCAGCCATGGGTAGAAGTTTCTCAAGTGGCCCGCAAGCTTTTCCATTGGAATATTCATTGTTCTTTCTACGATTGGCTGGTGCCTGTAGGATTTTGTCACTTTTGTCTCAGTGAAAACTCTGAAAGGACAGGAAGGACAGCTTTTCTCACAGTTGAAGTTTGGAAAAATCAGTCAAGAATAGATTTTTCAAATGAAAACAATACCCAGTGCCTCTAACCAACAGGGACATGCAAGTCAGTGATATCATGAGGTACCACCTAAGCCACATCAGTAGCAGTAGCAAAGTCCAGTGAGGATGCAGAGAGGAGCTGCTGGCCGGGATTCAGTTAGTGCCACCATCGTGGAAACAGTCTGGGGCCTTTCACAGGCTAGAAATAGGACTGCTACACCACCCAGCACTTTCACTGTTGGGTGTGTACCGCCTTCCCAGAAAATAAAACCAGTATGCTGGAAAGAGAGCTGCATACCCATATTTATTGCAGCTTTCTCCACAATAACCAAAACACAGAATCACCCTAGATTGAGTTCAGCTGACGGATAAAGAAAACGTGCGTGGTATATCTACACTGTGGAGTATTACTCAGCCATCAAAAATGTGACCCTGTGTTGGGTGTGGTGGCACATGCCTGTGATTTCTGTGCTCAGGAGATGAAGGTGGAAAGATAATGAGCCAGGCTAGCCTGGGCTACATACGGGGACACGCAGTAGTGGACAAGCATGAAAACAAAGCACTTGAACGTGGGAACAAGTGTGGTGTCAAAGGGCAGATGCCATGTATTCTCACCTGCAGACACTGAAAACGATCTTTGCAAGTCAAACAGGATTAGGCTCTGAAGAAGTCCACAGAGGCAAGGGTATGGGGGAAAGTCTGGGGCTGTGCTTGGGTAGAAGGAGTGATTTCCGATGCTCTCTAACTCTCTATGGTGACTGGTTAACAACAACTAAATGTGTTTCAAGAGCGCTATCAGAGAGTACTTTGAATATACTTCAAATCTGGAGTATATGAAATGAGAAAGGGAATCCTCATTTTTCTGTTTGTTGTGCTGGTGTATTTTGTCATTTGTCAACCATGATTTATTAGGTCACTTTTAAACAGAATTCAAGCAGTTTGCAGTAGTTTTTTTAGACTACTGTCACAAGTCTTAACTATGTTATGAGGAAGTCTGTTAGAGTGTTTCATTTGGGGCACCTTGGCTTTTGGTAACTTAAACTTGAGTTATGTGGGTTAAGCATCCCAACAAGGGAAGCTTAACATGGACCCCACACTAATGCCACCTTCAGAATAAGACTGGAACAGAGCTCAGTGATAGTGTCTGTAACTAGCATGCACAGGGACTGTGTTTGATCCCACGCTTTACCAAGACAGTATGACCAGAGATGTCCTAGTTTCACAACATGGCCTTTAGGTGCAGCCATTTGTTGTGGTTACCTGAAGAATAACAATACCATCCATCATAGTCAGTTTCAAACCAATGGCCTAATGTCATGTGGCTCATAAATTCCCTGAAAATTTAACAAGCTTTCATGCCCTGTGTGAACTTCCCGTGTATGGACCAAGCTGTAGTTTCCAGTAGGGGTAAAGAAGAGAGCCACTTGTACGACTTAATGGCTTCTGCAGTTGGGTGTGCCTCCTGTGGAACTGATAGAAAGTGTTGAAGTAAAATTGCCTGCCTGTTGCCAAAGTAAGCGGCCTGGATAGAAATGGTTCCCTGGTAGGCAAACAGCACTCAAAATGTGGCTATATGTCAGTTTATTTAAAACAACATGATTAGACTGGGAACGGTGGTGCATGCCTTTAATCCAAGCATTCCGAAGGCAAGAACAGGCAGTATTACAAAATGAAATCCTGTCTCAAAAGAATTGAAAATAACAATAAAAACATGATCATTTTTAAACAATAACAAAAACTCAAATCATCCTTACCCCATAGCCCCACAGTGTGTTTGCTGGTTGTTGTAGTTTCAAAGATCATTGTATAGTTACTTGCTGGCAATGTACAGCATCTTTCTTCCAGATGGTGTGTTGAGAGCTATACATACTCCTTGAGGCTGGAAATTTGTTGAATCTTCTTTTGAATCTCAGAATTTGAGCTGGTTTTTGAGATTTTGTTATGTTCTAATGCTTGAGGTCATAGTATATCCACCTTTAACATTATCCCAGCTAAAATAAGAACAGAGCAAAAATTACTTCCTGAGCAGATCCCAGCCTCTGAGGTCATCATCAGATCACACAGGTGAGATGCCCTGTCTAGTCCAGCTTTTGTCCTTATCAGGTTTTGTTTTCATGGCTAATCATTAATCTAATTTCCAGCCATGTCTGTTGTTGAGCCAAGAGCCTTCAGCTGGTAAAGCTATAGCATTGAGATGAGCTCTGTTCCAGGAGTCCTTCCTTTGCAGGTTCTGATTCATTATTGCATGGTCCTTTATTGCAAGGTCACTCCTTGGTATTTCTTGAGTGGGTGGATGGTCATAGGTTAGCTGAGAAAAATTACATTTGGTGTATTGCCTTAAAGATAATTTGTTGGTGGTGTTAGAAGGCTGCTCATTGATGTGTCTTTAGTGGGCACCATGTGCCTGTTGTATAAACTGATGACATGACTGCTCCATGGTATGGTTAAGGACAAAGTTTTTACTGTAGATATGAAAGGCAATAGCCAGCGTCGTCTGGAAGAGTCCATAGCAGAGAGAGAAAGAAATAGACTGAGTATGGCCAGGAGACTGGACATGGCCAGGGCAGTCTGCAAGAGAGGGAGAAGAGCAGGGGGTGGAGAGTAGAGAGAGCATAGTGGGAAAAGGGTACCAAGAGTGGCAGGGCTATAAGGACAATGAGTAGCTGGGGGCGGGGATGAAGCCCATGAGCTAGGGAGAGTTTAAGGGAGTGGAGAGGGTGAGAAGGACTAGGATGCAAGCACAGACTTTGAAATGTGTAGTGGGCACTTGTGATGCTGAAGGAGCCTGGAGACCAGCATGCACTTTGATACGATGGTAGGCAACACAGGTAGTCATATGTCCCTTCTTCCAGAAGTAAGGGAAATTACTCCTTTGGTAGATGGGAACCAGTTTCACAAGTTCCTGTGGAGTGTGGGCTTTTATCTACCAGAAACCCTCCTAGAGTCCATGTTGAGCTCATTTCTGGGTATTTGGACTGCCTTTTGAGGTTTGGGGAAGTGGAGTTTCCTTTGGACCTGACAGAGTGCATCTCTCCCGAGTGTAGAACAAAAGCTAACCAATGTGTGCATGTTCCTTCCCTTCCGGCACTATAGTGAAGACCAGTGAATAGGCAGAGTGTATTCATCAGCCAATAAGAAAAAAAAGTGCATACTTTTTTTTAAAGAAAACATGACAAGATGCAGTTTGTGCGATATTTTAAAGAGTAAATAACACCAAGATTCAGACTCTGGTTTTCTATACCCTGGTTTATTGGATCGTGTTGCTAACTACAACATTTCCCCACTTAGGCAGCCAACAACTGGATTCCATTCACGTGACGCAGTTGGAGAGAGATACTGTTTTGGTGTGTTTAGACAGTGAGTATTATTTTAAAGTTAATTTTGAGTGTGCTGTTTCATAAAGCAACCCTTTAATGGAATTGACGGTGTCGCTCATGCTCTTCCCTCAAGTGACCGGCAAGAAGCTCAGTTGCCCTGGCCCTCAGTGCCATGCTTTCATTTTACACTTGGCTCGTGTGGGGACACTAGCACTGTCTGACACCTTAGAGAATTTCTGTATGAACTGTTCTCTCACTGTAAACTGTGATCATAGAATCACTTAACAAGCTGGGCAGTGGTGACGCACGCCTTTAAACCCAGCACTAGGGAGGCAGAGGCAAGTCGATCTCTGAGTTCGAGTCCAAGCTGGTCTACAGAGCAAGTTCCAGGACTCTGTCTCAAAACAACAACAACAAAAAAGCACTTAACATGTACTTTTGGAGGCATGTCAGTGACGGTGGGTTTAAAGGAGTCCACGTGTCAGTTCTAATATACTCAGGCATTTGAGACTTCCACCAGCTAACCCTCACCTTTTGATGCAGGAGAGATGTTATAACTTACTGTTTTAATGTTTTAAATGTTTTAAATGTAAATGTAAATGTAAATAATGTTTTAAAATACACATCGTTGCAATGCTCTTTATTTAGTAAGTAGTACTTTTTCTGTTTTTAAAATTAAATAGATATAATGAACATCAATATCTTCATTTTTAAAAAGTGGCTACTTTGATGCTCAACTATGTAAGGTATTTGTTAAGTAGTACTTGCAGCAATTCCCCCCTGCCATAAAAGTTCCAGGCTTGTCAGGGCACACTGGGTCAGGACCACTTACTAAATAAACGGCATTGTAGTTATGTGTATTTTAAAACATAAATTCCAGTTTTTCACCAGGCATGTCTCAATCAAGATAAGTCTTTGAAGTTTATTAAGAATATTATTTGATACCCATGTAAAATACACTACACTTATTTTAGGAATTTTTCATTTCCAGTCTTGACCTTTTTTTAATCTCTTTTAAGAATTTGTAAAAATTGTAAATCTACAAGGAAAACTAAAGTCAAGTAAGAAGTTGGCCTCTGAGCTGAGTTTTGACTTCCGCATTGAGTCTGTCGGTGAGTCCCTTTCTGTTACTGACTGTGATATCTGGGAACTTTATGCATTCTTTCCTGGGGGTTGTGTAGACCAGCAGCTGTCTCGTATGTACTAGTTCATGTGGCGAGTACTTTCTGAATTTTCAACTAATTTCATTTTGATTTTTTTTTAATTGTCACTTTCTGAATTTTCAACTAATTTCATTTTGATTTTTCTTTTAATTGTCAGTTTCATGCATATAATTCAATCTGATCATGGTCCCCTTTGGATGTGGCTTTTAACTTAAATAGCTAGTTGACACCATAGTAGATAGCACTGGTCTTGCCTGTGTTTTTGTTTTTAAATATGCTCAATGTTACCATTGTTGTACTGAGTGAGTTATACTTTGCCCAACTCTTTCCAAGTCATGAAGATGCTTGTGTGAAGTGGCCGTCCTGTTAGGTCCACTGTAATTCTTTATCATGGTATCTAGCTCTGTGTCTTGATGGTTGCTGTTTTAGATCTGTTTCTACATAAATAGTAACTTTGGGGCTGAAGTGATGCCTTCAAAATTAAGAGCACTGAATGTTGTTTCAAATCCTGGTTTCAAATACAAGGACCCACATGGCAGCTCACATCCCTCTATAACTTCAGTTTCAGAGGATCTGGTTCTCTATTCCTCCACAGGCCCTGTACACTTGTAATACACAAAACACCCAGACACATTAAATAAAAATAAGTAAATCTTGAGGCTGGAGAGGTGGCTCAACACTGAGGAGCACTGGTTGCTTTTGTGGAGGACTCAGGTTCAAGTCTCTGCACTCATATGGTAGTTCACAACCATATACAACACCAGTTCCTGGGTATCCAACAAGTACACATGTGGCACACATATGCAGGCAAAACATTCATACATATAAAATCAAAATAAGTCTTTAAAAAATATAAATAAATAACAAGTTTCCCTGAGACTGTAAAAGGAATGTGTAGTTTTAATTTGTTTCCTTATTAATATTTTAATTTTGGGTGCTCATTAATTTTATGATTTTTTTTTTTTTTGTAAGCATTACAGGATTGGGTGTGGTGGTGCACACTTTTAAACCCCAACACTTGGGAGGCAGAGGCAAGTGGGTCTCTGTGAGTTTTAGAATATATAGTGAGATACTGTCTCAAATAACAAAAAAATTAATTATAATTCCACTTCCATCTTTTTTGCTGGTATGTCAGCATTTTCCCAAGGAGAAATAGAAGTTGTGAGAAAAATATTATAGATCCAAATATTTTAGATGAATATATATATGTGTGTGTGTGTGTATATACACACACATATACCAACACATTTATCATATAATTAGCTGTATATGGCTTTTAAAGTTGTTTTTAACTAGTTAGAAGCTAGTTTGTCTAAAAAAAAGTATTCTAGCCTGAGTTTCTCATATTAAACTAGAATTTTGCTGTATCTTAGAGGATAAGAGGCACAGGACATAGCTAAGTAGTAGAGTACATGAGGACCCTGGGCCCTGTCCTCACACCAAAAATAGATAAAATGTGTTATGCTCCTGTGCGACAACTGACAGAAAAATCCTTTGCCTGTGGTGAATATGTAAATGCTGAACCAGGAAGCCTGAGCTACCTGAAGAGCCAGAAGGAAGAGATTTTGGAAGCTTGCTTCCTCCTTGCTGCATTGTATGCTTTGTGCTGCATGTCAGGACCTAGGACATGACGGTTTTCAAGGAGGCTGACGTAGATCCTCAGCCCTCTTCATCTGAGTTAAGATGTAGGGTTATCATATGTGTCATGTTATTGGGAGAGTTTTATTTGTTATACAAAGTTTCCTTCTAGATTGCTATCAACTTATCCAAATAAATCTTAAAATGGTTGTAAGGATCTTTTCAGAGAGAGTCTCTTTAAATCATGTCTCAGAAATAAGACAAGTAACCGGGTTCTTCGGTTACCACAACTAATGAAACATATGTGACCTGTCATCATCAAATATTTCTGTTTTTATTAAGTTGAATTACGCCCCAGACATTCTTACACTAACCATGTCCTTACTACTCTAATAAAAAATACATGCTTGTCTGGCACACACTGGATTTTCTCCCTAACACAAGAAAAAAGAAAGAAAAAGAGACAGTAATTTTCTACTTTTTTTCACCATTATGTTTATTAATGTTTGTGTTTTCCTAATTCTGTTTAATAGAATAGTCAGTGAAATACTAAGATTTATTTAGCAATTGACTGAGATCATTATATTCAGTGTGTGATTAGATTTTGAGTTATGAAGCAGGTTTATTTTTTAATTAACTTTATAACATGAAAATACGAACTTAACTTATATTGCTTGATATCTGTTTGAATAACTTCTTTTAAATCCAAAAACTTAACTTTGTGTTTTCATTGATGTAATAACTTAAAATAGAAGATACTACATATGGAAGAGAAATTAGCATGCCAATTGCCAGCTTATCAGAAGTCAGCCCATGTTGGAAGAAGGCCTGTGCCATACATCTTTGCAGGCTGCTTAACTGTCTCAGTAAATTACTTGAATTTAGACATGCCTTAGTCACAAAAATGTTGAACAGTAATGGTCTAGACAGTGGAATTTTGCCCTGAGAACTTGAAAAGTTATCATTTATTAAAAACAGTTAGGGAGGGGCCAGGAAGATGGCTCAGTGTTTAAGAGCATGGACTGCAACCAAGGTTTGGTTCCCAGCATCCCTGTGGCTCAAAGCCGCCTGTAACTTCAGTTCCAGTGGGGTCCTTTGCCTCTGGTCTCTTCGGGCACCTGCAGTCACCATACACATACCACACACATGCTCACGTACATGTGATTAAAAGTGATAGAAATAAACCATTTCCTAGAAACGGTTGAGTGGAATCTGTGCTTCCTCTTCATTTTCCCCTCATCTCTTTCAGTGTGCCTTCAAGACAGCGTGTTGGCTTTCTGGAAACATGGGATGCAGGGAAAAAGCTTCAAATCAGATGAGGTAGGTTTTCTCAGATTTCCTCTGTTGACTCCACACAAGGGTTTAGTGGTGAAATGATCACATTATGCATTACCTCTCTGAGTCACCATGTCTTGTCTAGCTCCTTTGATGTCACAAAGCGACAGGATGCAAACCTGTACTCTCTCCTATCATATGTGCACTTTTGTATTTTGCTTTAAATACCCAGTAACCACAAGGAACTCCAAAATGTTGAAGACGCTGTTGTTATAAATGATGTGAAAGACCTGTTATGTTCCAGGCAGTTTACAAATATTAGCACATTTAAAGCTCAAAAAAATCCACTGAGTCCCATGACTAGCTAAATGGCAGAGCATGGATTTAGAAGTTCTTCAAGTGTCACTTTCATAAGAGGTGATCAGGGTGCCGAACTGCAGGAGATGGAGTTGGCTCCCCCCACCTCCAGGGAGGGGTCCCACTCAGATGGGAGCATTTCCCAATTGTGTGCCAGAGTTTTCTTTGCCAAAGGTTCATACATCTGTGAAGCTACCGGAAAGCATGGAATCTTCTGATGTTTGAATGTAGTTTATCTGTACCCTTATTTATATGTAAATAAGTATTTGCTACTTCCGAGGGAAAAAAATGGTATAAACCGGTAATCTTTGAGTGTCTTGGTTTATTTACTGACCCACATCACTAAACATCACCAGGTCTCTGTATGTGACGAAATCTACAGTCCTACTTATACCACAATGCTAGTCTTTGTTTCTTACCAGCATGCCGCCATGCCCAGCCGTACTAATTGTTCTTCAATGCTATTTTCAGTGTGTCATTTCCATGTTTAAACTCAAAGCCAGGACCTCTCGAGTGTCAGGAATGTGCTTTCTGCCAGCCACATGCCCAGCCTTGTCGCTGCCTGCTTGTAGTGCATCTGACTTGAACTCCACTCTGGGTTTCTGCTGGAGCTCTCGGCCTTTGATGAGAGCCCGGTTGGAGTTTAACCTCTGCCGTAAAGGAACATTCCACAGTAATTAGAGTCGGTCAGCTTCGTGCCATGAAAACTAGCTGCCCGGAGTATACAGCAGCAGACTTGTTTGCAGATTGACATTCCTTCTGTATTTCCAGACTACAAGCTCCTGTTCACAGGTTGCTTTACACTAAGTGTAGCCAATGGAATTTGAGTTTCTCCAAGGACCAAGAGGAGGTAGTTTATCTAGAAGTAGATTCTAGAAAACACATGATGTGGTGAGGAACACAGAAATAGAAAAGGAGGACATCAAAAGCTGTTCGTACAAGTGGGCATCTCCTGTCCAACAGCACCGAGGAGTGGTACATGCCACCCCTTAGAAGCCCCCCTTGGAGTGCGTCCTACACGCTGCACTGCCAGCGCTGCCCTTGTTGGATAGAGGTCAGCACCCACACTCCCCCCTCTCTGGGGAGTGCTCTGCAAGTGGTGCAGCTTTTGCAAAATGCGGAAAGCTGGAAAAGGGATCACCTCACACTAGATGACAGCCTGGCCCTTGGGAATGAGTAATGGTGCCCCATGGCTCTCACTGTCATGTCAGACTTAGGTGACCTTGTACTTAGTGAAAGAATTCAGCAGCATATCCCGCTGAGCTCTTAAGGGCAGTAGCTGGTCCAGGCTAGATGCTCTGTTAACATCAGCCCATTTCTACTGATAGGCAGTCAAAAACTCACTTGCTGTCATGTGTTTGATTTGGGGAGTTACGTCTCTGAAATACTATGCCTTCACTTTCATGGCTATATTTAAGTGACTGTTACATTACTGTGTAAGCACTGTCAGGGCTACAGTGTTACTGACAGGTATTTTCTGCCGTAGGTCACCCAGGAAATTTCAGATGAGACGAGAGTTTTCCGCTTATTGGGATCAGACAGGTAACAGTCGGTTGTAGTGATTTAGTTATGTGGAAGTAGCAAGAATCACACTCTTGATCACACTGCAGCCTGTGTTGGATTCCAGTCGAAATTCTGAGAGGACTCATCAACTTTAGAGTTTTGTATTGAGAGAGTGAATAGCATTTAGTCTGATGGTTTCTCAGGCTTTGCACCCATTTTCAGCCAAGACAAAATGTGTATATAGTAGTATTCACACCCCTAGAACCGTGACACGACTTCACATCCCTTTGAAGCCATTATGCCTTCTTGGTGTGTTGCTCTCTATGAAATATTACATAAACCTGATAGTAGCTTTGTGTCACAAAATACTCAACTCGGATCTGGAGCGTGGTCTTAATTATAAGGGATTAGTCCCATCCATCCTTGCTCAAGTGTTGGGTGCGTGTGGGAGGAGCAGGAGAATAGAGTTAATGACTCTACAGGCTTTGACTGGGGGTTATTAGGAGAAAAGGGCATTTTTGGAAAATGATGGCTACCTTAGTGAATAAAAAAGGTAAGCCACAGGCACAAGAGCCCAATAACTGATATGGCAAGAAAACAGGAGGGGGCGGGACCTGGAGGAGCTGCCTCTCACTGGAGGGACTGACCAATGAAGTGTGGGTCTGTAACTCTGAGAACCCTGCTGGTAGAGGGTGACACCTCACAGCTAATGCTTTCCTCGCTCCCCTTCACCCAGACTTTTCTCACTATCATTTAAGTTTTGGGGGGTTTTTTCTCTCTTTTTTTTACATATTTTAGTGTGTCTGTACAACACTCATATGGCGGTCAGAGGACAACTTAACAAGAATTGATTCTTTCCATTCCACCATGTGGGTCCCAGGAATGAAAGTTGGGTAGTTGGGCTCCTCAGCAAGCCCTTTTACCTGATTCCGTATTTTATTCTTCTTTGGTTTTTTGAGACAGGGTTTCTCCGTGCAGCTTTGGAGCCTGGGACTCACTCTGTAGACCAGACTGGCCTTGAACTGGCTGGTTTAAAGGCATGCACCACCTGACTCCATTCTTTATATTAAACCTTTGTTTTCAAAGACCCTGAGCGGTTCAGGTGCCCTCTTAGGGTCCTGTTTATTCTCTAGCCCTTCTTCCTGTTGGCATAAATTCCTAAGACATAGTCAAACCTATTGTTGGCATATCTGAGTAATCGCAGTTGGATTTAATTGGAATACGGTGAGACTATCTCTGGCCATTTCAATACTCTGTGTATAAAACAATTGTTACTCAGTTATGCCTGAAGCTCTAAAGGACAGTAGGGATTTTGGCTGTGTTTCTGTGACCTTTATGTAATTTTATGGCAGGCGAGCTGGTGATAACTTGTTTGACAATCTGTAAACACTGAAACGTATTTTCAACACTTAACACTTTTTATTTTGGTTTCATTTCAGGGTCGTTGTTTTGGAAAGCAGACCAACAGAGAACCCCACAGCACACAGCAATCTCTACATCTTAGCTGGGCATGAAAATAGTTACTAAGCAACAGAAACAAATTCCAAATGACAAGAAGATGAATATACTCCATTGAAAGCAAGAGTGTTTTAAGGGGATTTGATATAGACTACAGTATGACTTGCTTTAATTGCTGTGGGTTTTATATCAAATGATCTGTACATTAGGATAGAATTCAGTATTTTTCTGTAGCTGGAAACAGCTAGTCAATCTCTTGCCACTGTGTGGTGGTTATATCAAGTTTGCTTAATAAAAGCTGTGAGACGAATAGTCCTCTAGTTCCAGGAAACACAGTCCTTTAAAAAAAAATAATGTTTGTAACAAGGTGCCATGGTGTTTTTAAATAACTCATGTGATTATCTTCAGAGAGGTTAGTGAGCAGTCTGTCATTTTATACCAGGCCTTATTCCTTCTTAGTGAACATAATTTGATAAGAAATTCTTGAACAAGCCTTTCACTTTGACATTGGCCGTTCTGTATGTTTTTGTAAGATAGAATATTTAATCCTTATTTATGAATCTCTTGCTGGAGTGGTGTAATGTTTCTAACTTTTAGCAAAGGAAAGTTGCAGAGCATCTGGGTTTTTTTTTTTTTTTTTTTTTTTTTTGTGTTTTTGTTTTGTTTTTATACTGTGTGAACATTTTGTTTACCTTTACAGAGTCGTACCTTAAGGGCTTACAGGCAATGTGTTTAGGGATCCAGCACATGCAGTTTCATTTAACAAAGTATTTTCTGACACAGATTCATACAGGGTTGCCTTAAAGGGAATTTGTGTGTTCAGCTTTGGATGGTTGTAAGGGATTGTGCAGAAGCGCCGATGGTGGACAAAGCCTTGGCAGGGATGTGTAATGTCTAGGTGTGACTACCATATGTTTGACAAGCGGTAGAATATACCTGTGATTTTTTTTTTTTTTTACATTAGGGATAATGCAAGAAATTGATCTTCATATATATCATGATCCCTAATGTTTGGGGGGGGGGAGTATTTAACTGCCCATATTATGTATTTTACTTATATTATGCCAATGGGGAAACTGCAAAGTAATTGCACGTGTAATCTTGGGGTTTTCACATATGTAGGTGTTCATTGTGAGTAGGTTTAAGAAAACAATACTTTAAATGAAATTGGAATTTCTGATGGGATAGTATAGATAAATAAATGATGTTTTTTATATTTTTTAAAAAGCCACTATACTAAAATTAAAGGATAGGGCCATTTTTAGTGTGCTTTTCTTTTACAATTGTTACTGTTCAGAATTGGTATGTTCTATTGGTACCAGCTGTCTTAGTGCATTTATTAAGACCACTTAGCAATGAGGTGATGAACAGGGGGCTAGTAGTAGCAAACTCTAGAAATAGTCTGACCAGTACTTGACAGGAAAACGATGTACCTATCTCATCTTTACCAGGCTTATAAAGTACATGTTATCATCTCCATTTTTCGAATGAGGAAATAAGAGTTTAACAAAGTTAAGCAACTTAACCACTTCATACTGGTTAGTTCTCGAGCCAGACCAAGAGTCTCCTGACTCTGCTCCTCTCACTATGCAATATACAAGGAATAAAATGTTACACAAGCAAGCTGTGACGTTTTCGTTCTTTAACAGTGCACCTGTAGGCACCGAGGCCAGCAGGATGCTCACTAGATAGAGGCACTTGCCATGCAAACATGGCTGCTACCAAATTTTCATCCCAGGAACCCATCCATGTGAAGGTGAAAGGAGGAAGACATGACTCTACATTGTTTTCACCTGACTTACACGTGTGTGTGCGTGTATACATGCACACACACACACCGGCTACATAGAATACTACACATGTGACTGTTTATATGGGGTATGTAAGAGGGTCCTCTGACTGAGAAATGCTGTATGCAATAGATGGCAGGCCAATCCTCAAAATTGGGACAAATTCAAAGACAACACCCTTTTTTCTCACTGAGTCCCAACAACCATCCTAACAGGATGGAAGGACCACTGCAGGCAAGAAGGCCTAAGGGAGATCCCAATATCAGAGGCCTCCTGCTGATAAGCTGTGTGGCTAGAGAACAGTACAGCAAAAACGGAAGCTATCCTCAACTGTGAAAAGTGGGCTGTTGGTTAAGAGTTACAGCCACAAAGCAGCAGGGAGAGCTCTAGAAGAAACAAACCAGTGGGGTAATAGAAATGTCGGAAGATGTCACAATCTTCATAACCGTGACTTACAAGCAGACACTTCAAGACGAACATTAGGCCTTGGGAAGAATATGAGTAGTTCAAGTTGAAGATTTAAGATATAAAATTAAGGACATTTCTCAGAAAATAAACTGTCAAATAAATGTAAATAGAGGAGAATAAAAGTTACAAAAATTAAAGAGAAGGGGGAAATGATATAATTATATTTTAATTTGAATAAATTTAAAAAGTGAAAAGGTAAGAAAATGAATGGCTCAGGAGGTCAACATCTAATCTGAGAGTTAAAATAAAAAAAGTGGAGAACAAAACATCAGTCACATAGTTCACGGGGCGTGGTGATGTATAATCCATCACTCCAGTGGCAGAGCAGGCTTTGGCCAGCCCCATCTATGTAGAGTGAGATTCTCAAAATAATAATAATGGTGATGATGATGTGTTTTAAGAAATGTTCCCAGGGTTGAAGAACATTAGATTCTAGGTCAAGAACCATAAGTGCTGAAGTTAACACTACAGTGTGTGCAAGCACATGTACACACAACACACAGAATTAATGCAGTGAAAACTATTGGGGAGAGTGAATATGATCAAAACACATAAAACCTGAAACTCAAAGATCAAATTAAAAAAACAAAATCACGGTGATTTCAAGGACTTTGGAATGAAAGACCAGGGATTGGCAACATGGCAAGGAGTACAAACTCATGCCCTCCAATGTAATAGAACTCTCCTCACACCCAGCTACAGCCTCCTGATCTTTCACTTCGGTGCCAAAAGCATAGGTTGCAGAAATGGCAGCCGCTGCAACAAACGCCACTGAGAAATCTGAACGTCCACATCCACAATAAAGCGAGAGTCTTATCTCTTGCCCTGTACAACAATCAATTCAAAATGGACCAAGGCCTGAATCTTTGAATGCTAAGGAAAACATAGGCACTGTGCATTAATATCCATAGGAAAAGACATCATGATAAGGAGTCCAGCACAAGAAATACAGGAACAGGAGTGGAGCTATATGAAATGAACCTTCTGCACAGCTGAGGAAGCCATGACAAAGCAAACAGTGGACACAGACCTCTGCTAGCCACACCCCCAGTGGATTCCAATTTAGAGATATGAAGAACTCAAATGCCAAGAAAATTCATCCAATCAGTGAACAAATAAGTTGGACAGTTTCTTAACAGGGAAAAAATAAATTCATGAGTAAAAGTCTTATCAGAGAGAGCAAATCAAAACTACCTTGAGGGCTGGAGAGATGGCTCAGTTGTTAAGAACACTTTGTGCTCTTGCAAAGAACCTGGGTTTGATTCCCAGCACCCACATGGGGCCTCACAAGCAGCTGTAACTCAGTTCCAGGGGATCCAGTGAGCACTCAGGTGGTACATACACATGCATGCGGGCAAAACGTTCATACACATGAAGTAAAATAGATGTCGCAGGGGAACGCCATGTCTTCTCAATATGACTATCACAAAAACCAATGCTAGTGAGAGTGTGGCAGTAAAACCCTTATGCAATGCTAGTGGGAATACAGAAATCAGTGTGGAGCTGATCCTCAAGATGCTGAAGTTAGAGCCACTGTGTGGTCCAGCCATATTGCTTCTAGGTATATACACACAATAATCTGAGCTTACCACAGTTCATTGTGGCACTATTGACAAGGAGCAAGTTACAGGTTTGGCCCACATTCGTCATGTGAACAGGTAAGTGTATATACAATCAAGGTCTATGTGGCCATAAGATTGAAATGTCACTTTAAGTATGTGGAACTGGAAAGCACCATATAAAGCAAAACTACACCAGAAACAACACATGTCATGTAAAAAACAGAATAGTGCCTGGTACTGTGCGGATGCTGATGCTGTCATCAACACCTTTCTCTAGTAGTGCATAAACATCCCTTCCTGATGCCAACAGCCAGGCTGTTGACATAGGTAGATGTGGTGCAATTCAAGAATGTCAGGGAAGTTTATGACCTCGTATCCTAACCAAGTTCCACAGGTTAGGTCCTCATCTTTTGAGAGAGTGGATAACTAAGAGAGGATGGCAACTTACCAGTTATGAATTAATACAAAGCATGCAGGCTTCTCTTGGCTGTGGAGAAGAAAGTGTTGGCATATTAGGTGTTCTCTATAAAGCACTGATCATCAAACTTGGTAGAACACAATTATTTCTCAATCTGTAGGCTCTGAAAACTCAAAATGGATACTGGCCCAGAAGCGTAAGATCCCACAAGCTATGTACCCTCAATGAAACTACTAGAACCTGTGTGTCAAGTTCTTTCTCAACAACACCTGCTTGGGAACTAAGTTCCTGACACATGACATTATTTGCTACAGTAGAATGACCCCGTGACTGTTACAGAGTAACTTCTTCATAGGTGTAACCCATGGAAAGGATTATTTGGTCTTAAAATCCAGTGTAAAATGGAGAGAAAGTGCAAATACCAACCAGTGATCTGAAAAGACAGTCAACTAACTGCATTTTCTAGATGGATTGAGCTAACCATGTCAAACGGTCTAGGCAAGAAAACAAGAAGTGCACTAGATATTTTAAGAGGAGGGTGTTAATACAGAGAATTGTTACGAAATGAAAGGGCTGGAGAAAAGGACACAAAGATAACACAGATAACAGCTTCCTGATAACATGGGTAAAAACTGTGGGATAACACAGCAGCTACAGAAACACGGGTGGCAACTGTGGAAAAACAGGGAAGAACTGTGGAGAAACACAGGTAACAGCTGCAGGAACACACAGGTAACAGCTGCAGGAACACACAGGTAACAGCTGCAGGAACACACAGGTAACAGCTGCAGGAACACACAGGTAACAGCTGCAGGAACACACAGGTAACAGCTGCAGGAACACACAGGTAACAGCTGCAGGAACACAAAGGTAACAGCTGCAGGAACACAAAGGTAACAGCTGCAGGAACACACAGGTAACAGCTGCAGGAACACACAGGTAACTGTTGCAGGAACACACAGGTAACTGTTGCAGGAACACACAGGTAACTGTTGCAGGAACACACAGGTAACTGTTGCAGGAACACACAGGTAACTGTTGCAGGAACACACAGGTAACAGCTGCAGGATGACACAGATAGCAACTGGTGGAAGTAGTATCCATCCATCAGTCAGGAGATACAGAATAGTGGAGTCAGGGATTGCCAAGGCCTAGAGCCTCTGAGAGCCCACATTAGTGCTGACATCCTAGGAAGCACTGGGGTGAGGGTCCTGTGGAGCAGGAGCAGACCTGCAGCAGCAGTAGCTGCTGGTAGCTGTGAGGGTGTAAGGCCGGGTGATGGGAGAGCAGGAAGCAGCCTTGGTTAGAGGAATATTCCACAACTAAGGTACATCAAACGACCAGAGAGATTTTTCTCCTTGCAGTTCCCTTCCTACTGGAACCCAATGGGGATGGATTCTAGAGCATTCTAGTCCCAACAGAACAACAAAACTAACTGGGCTAACTTGGAGCTGTAAAACATCAATGACAATACCTCTTGTGGCCCCATTTGACTTCTCAGATTGCCTTGTGGGGACCACTGTATAAATAGGATCCCCAAAGAGAGGTTAGCACACCACCTAAAACAATGTAAAGACAAGGATGTCATCTGGCAAGTAGTATCTGTGTCACCTAACCTTGAGGGTTTACTTCCTAAGACCTGTAACATTAGAATGTTAAAGGTGCCTAACACAGATACAATTGCTTTCTCTCTGAACTCCTCCTGTGAACTCTCAACAGTATCTTTTGTGAAGATACAAGGGAACACTGTAAGGCTTATTGGCAATATCTAAAGCCAGTCTTTGTACGTTTCTACTTCTTTGTATTGTCTTCTGGAGTAAGAGATCTAGTACCACTAGAATATCTGTCCCACCCCACCCCCATTTTTGAGACAGGGTTTCTCTGTGTAACAGCCCTGGCTGTCCTGGAACTCATTCTGTAACCAGGCTGGCCTCAAACTCACAGATCCATCTGCTTCTGCCTCCCAAGTGCTGAGATTAAAGCAAGCACCACTGCTACCCAACCTAATACTCTTAACATGTATCTTAAAATTAATAAAATACCAATCAGCTATGAAGAGTATAAACACTGTTACTCAGCATGTGTGTGTGTGTGCCTGTGTGTGCGTGTGTGTGTGTGTGTGTGTGTGTGTGTGTGTGTGTGTGTGTGTGCATATGTGTACATGAGTGTAGGGTTTGGCATCTGGTGTCTTCTGGCTCACCACCTTATTTTTTAAAACAGGTTCTCTCATTGACCAAGGAACTCATAGTTTTAGCTTGGCTGGCTGACCAGTAAGCCTCCGGTAATGTATCTGTTTCCCAAGCTCACTCCACTTCCAACAGATAACACTCTGGGGCTCAGCTTTTTACACGGTGTGCTCTTCCTGGGGAAGACTGTTTCTCCCCC